GCAGCTGAATGCACGTTCGTGGGAGTGTACTCGCAAGTGTTCTGACTACACTGTTAAATTTGCAGAGTGAGTGTTCTTTTATTCCCACCAATTTCTGGTGAAAGTCGCAATTTTCACCAGTTTAAGGTCAAGTCGGGTCAAGTGATAATCATATCAATAAAATACTTGTAAGGGAGTATGGGGCGATTTGTAACAGATTTCGGAATTCTCTATACAAAATTAAGAACATTCTGCATATCGGTGTCAAACTTGTGCCAGTTGAGCAGTCTGGCCCTTCATCTAGACTGTGCAGCTCCATTGGATCAATCTGGAGTCCGTAATCTTTGAAATCTAAGACGTTTTCCAAACCCTTGCATGCTGTTACGAATCGCCCCAGCATGGGGTGATTTGTAACAGCCATGGGGCTTTTCATAACATCCTAAACATTAAATGAAACATCGTCGGGAATGTTATCTCCTCCACCAGTTGTTCTTCGGGTGTCCTGCAGACGTCTTAAAATCTACATTACAAGCTGCCGTTGACCGCCTCAGCATTAAGTGACCGGCCATGTCAACCCTAACCTCACTTTTTTCAATTTCAGAGGAAAGAAAAGAATAACTCGCTTTAAAATGCATTTCGAACTGTGTAAATGTATTGGAATAAAACGGCAGATGATTCGAGAAATAATTCAAGCATTTAACACCAACAACTACTTAAACTCTTGTTTTTATACGGGTCTGTTACGAATCACCCCAAATGCCTGTTACGCAAGAAATCCGTCCCTAACTATCACTGGACAAAGTAAAAGCAACTTATGCCACGTGTTTACATTGTAAAGGGGTCACGCTTCAAAACCCCAACGGTACTTCGATGGTGATTCATACCTGGGGAGCCTCAGACAGAAACTTCCTAGAACTCAAAATAAAAGATTTGCCTGTTTGCCGAAATTTCGGTGTACCCTATATTTCAGACGCCCTCCAAAACTATACCTGAGCACCGATCACATCCGCTTCGATTGTTCAAAGACCCTCGACTTGAGGTGAAAGAGGGGCCATACTCAGATTTTCCTCTGCTCCCTCCACTTTAACTAATAAACGCATTTGTTACGAATCGCCCCTGTTACAAATCGCCCCATACTCCCTTACTAAAATATTTTTTCAACAATTTAAAATTTGACCAAACTCATGACTTTTAACAATGTTTAAAAAAAAATATTATGATCTAAAGACCAATTTCAGGAGCTGAAGGTTAAAAAGTGTTTTTTGGTATTTGTTAGGAGAATATGAGTAAAACGACCAAATTTGTAGCCGCAAACCTCAATAACTCAGAAACTAGCGACAGTTAGCCGTAATTAGGGCTGAAGTTAACTTTAGGGTTGGAGGGGAGCCAGAGGGAGAAGATGTTAAAAATGTTGATGCTCACCGCACCCAGGTATGAAATTTTTTTGCCCTTAAGGTGGCTTAACTTTCCGGTTTCTAGTGTAGCTCGTTCACTGCGCTCCGGAGGACTGGATCTGATATTTGAGAGAAAAACGTGACCAAAGTTTGCGAACCTGGGCTTTTCCCATGCGTTTTAGCGGCTCACAACGCACCGAGGCGACAATGCAGTTTTTCAGATTTTGGAATGAGAATTCAAAGCTTCGACAGCTGGAAAGAACGATATGAATTAACAACCCTTGCAAAATATTCGATGTAAATCCGTTTCGTTTCCTGACAGGGCCCGTTCAACATCATTTTAGAGACCATGGAAATGTGTCCACCCGAGAAACAAAGCAAGCCGTTCTTTTTCCATTTTCGGGTGGCACACGACCGCAAAAGACCTTCGTTTGTGCGCGGTGCTATGAATATGACCACTTCCTACATCTTCGACGACAATACAGACGTAAGTATTTTGTCGCACTAAATGTGCACTTGCCATTTTGATGACGGGAAAATTGCCATACAAATAGGCAGCTTCTTTCCGCCCCGCATACATGAGGTATCCTTAACTTACCTTCGAAAGACCATCACAACGCTATCGTAAGTGTCAAAATTAGGGACCATCTTATAAAATATCAATTTATAATAAATTTTTTGAAGACTTGTTGTTATGGGTATTAACATAAAGGGGGCAGTAGGGTGATTCCGTGCGTAGGGGCCGTTTTAGCCACCTTAGAAAGTCACGTAAGCAATCTTGCTTGTTCGGCCGGAATTTTGCCTGGATGGCATCAATTCAACCCCAGGAAGACACTCTGAGCGTGGGCGAGCTCCAAGTTGACTTTCGTTTTCTCCCCCTTTAAAAATATGACAGAATTTACTGAAAATATGACGGAAATTACGCTTGACGGAAATTACAAACAGGTGTTTCTGGCTCACTGCAAATGCCTATCGCCACAGAAATATGCCATAAGTTTGGCACACTAGTTCGACGTCAAGACACATCTTTTCACGTGTAGGATGTCTTTCAAAACCCGATAGAAGAGGAGCGAGAGGGGCATACGGAAATTACACCAATTGTTACAACCCACCGATTTCACACACAACTTCCACTCGCACACTCACCCCCCTCGCTTTATCGCCACCGAAACTCGTTCATGTGGTAAACAGACCGTGCTGATTCTAAATACGGCGGTGGTTCTGAGCAGGGAGCACTCTTAGTAGTTTTTGTGGTGCATACTTTGAAACCGCCAAGGTAAAAGTCGGAGTACGGTGGACATTTAGTACGCGTTCTGAAAGTACACTTCCAATCAATATACGATCTTCAAATTCAAGCAAGATAGTCACTATTAGTTAGAGATTTGATGGGTGTTTGTGGAATTCGAAGATTTGAATGGAACAAAGGGTTATAGAGCCGCAAAGTTGGTGTAAGGTGCGAATGGACATGACGGAACTTACAAAATCGACCCTTTTGGCCCCTCTCCCGCGTCACATGTTAGCTTTGAAAGTCCGTATACCAAGGGAACAAGCTAGTCCAGTACCCAACAAGATTCTTAAGTGTATAAATGGACTGCACTGGAATAAGTTCGCTCTGGGGAGGGTGTGGACACGAAAACGCCCCCTACGCACGGAATCACCCTACTGCCCCCTTAATATTTTGTTTCTTCAAATACTTCTTTGTGCTGGTATAGCATTATCCTGGATGGCATGGAACAGTCATTTTCCCATTTTAAAAGCTGAAATTTCATCTTGCGCGCAACGTTTCTTCGACAAGAATTGAGACCAGACCTTAAAAAAAAAGGGGAAGGGGACTCTTCACTGCAGTCACCTCTATGGTCTAAACCAAGAATATAGGTGAGGAACTTAAAACAGCCTACTAAAAAAATAAAAACCACATTTTAATCTTTTGTTTTAACAACAAAAATTAAGTTTTGAAGTTCTTTTATTAGGCTGCATTAAGTTTCTGGTCTATATTTTTGGTTTAGACCATAGATGTATGTAATGAAAGTGAAGCGTTCCAGAATTTTTGGAGGTCAGGTCTCAATTCTTGTCGAAGAAACTTTGCGCGCAAGATGATATTTTAACTTCTCTTAATAAAACGGGAAAAATGACTGTTCCATGCCATCCAGGATCATGCTACCAGCACAAAGAGATATTTCAAGTGACAAAATATGAATGTGTATACTCAATACAAAATCTTTAAAAAAAATGGATATGAATGGAGTCTCCATGAACGTGATTGGAAAGGTTTTCTCCATAAAATTTCGGAGCTAATTTCTAACACTGTACAAACTGAAGTGTGTACTCAGTATGCATCTACAGGTGCATACTTATAAGTACACACCTGCAAATGCATACCTAGCTGAGTACATATCTACAGATGCAAACTTGGCTGAGTACACATCTACAGATGCATACTTAACAGGTATGCATCTGTAGATGTGTACTCAGCCAATTATGCATCTGTAGATGTGTACTTGATACTGGGCATTTATATGGTGACAAGTACACACCTACTAATGCATACTTAACAGGTATGCATCTGTAGATGTGTACTCAGCTAGGTATGCATCTGTAGATGCATACTGAGTACACACTTCAGTTTGTAGAGCAGTGCGCTTTGCAACGTTGCAAACTTTTTTCTTCGCAACTTACGAACTCTTTCTTTGCAATGTGGCGGGAAAAAGTTCGCAAGGGAGCTCGGAATACGAAGCCGGTGAATGCTTCGTACTGCAAAGTACTTTTCTGTGCAAGCTTTTATGGGTGCGCCCTTGTTTTTTATAGCACAACGCTTGCAATACTCTTTCCTCACCCATAACGTAACGTTGCCTCTTTGCTCCTGCTAGATCGCGATTGAGATGGCTTCGTGGAGTTCCCGCGGCGGTTGGAAGGACAACGCTTTCAAAATCCGCTTGAAGCGCGCCTGCTTCACAGCCCCTCAGTACCTTCCGACAGTGTACAACACCCTTAAGGCAACTCTGTTCGGCGAAACGCAATGTCCCTGGCCACCGGTCCGTGCGTATGGCAGTCCAGTGAGCATGCGCTTCATCTTACGACTTCAAAATGTTGACAGGTTGAAAATCTGCGCAGGGAGCTTACTATCACCCCAATGTGTCGATGGAAATTCGGTTCACTTTACCAGTCTTTTACTATGGGAAGTATCGTGCAGACCTTGGATTCACGGATCACGCTACTAACGAGATGGAGGCTTGTGTGCGAGCTACCATCAAGGTGGTCCCCAAGACCCGCTGAGATGAGACACCATCGCAGTCAGCGCTCACACTGTTAGGGCCGGCCTTACATACACTATCAGAAAAAAAGGCCGTAAATTTACGGAGAAAAGTACTCTAATTTTGAGAATGGAGACTCCGTAAATTTTCCATATTTTTACGGAGAGCGTTTCTCCACAATTTTACGGAGGGATTTTCTCCGTACATTTTTCTTATTTTTACGGAGATTTTCCGTATCTTTGCAGAAGTAAACGCATTTTAACGGTTTACTAATCTTCTTCCACCTTCGATGTTAATACAAACAGCGCCCTTTCAAACGAAAGTGATATTCTCCGAAACTGTTAAAAGATCCACTTGACCACATTTGGATCGGATAAATGGGCGGAAACCCAAAGGCGATGTCGCTTTAGGGAAGGCGCACGCTTGGAACACTTAATCATTTTCTCGCCCAACTCATCGATAACGTGAATTAGTCTGTTCTTTTTGATAAGTAAGGCTTCTATTTCATTTCCGTTCTTTTACGGAGAAAATCCGTAATTCAAGAAAACGGAGATCTCCGCATAGAAAAAAATACGATTTCAAGAAATCCTAGGAGTCACGAAGTCAATATAGTTATTGTGTAGGAGTGTGGAGAAAGGAAAAAAGTTGTGTAAAAGGGATAGGGGGTGGTTTAGGTACGAATGGCAAGGGTACCAATGTGGTCGATGTGCCACCCGTCAAAATTTAATCTTGGCAACAAAAAGAAATCAAAATGCCGTGAAATTCGAAAAATTCCAATGCTAATGTATCCCACACTGGAACATCTTTGAAGTCAATCATTATAAAAATGTTCGTGGGGGAAAGGAGGCAGTAAATTAATTTTCGCGGGTTGGCAACAATCTTCTCGGCAACTGCGCCCTTGCGAAAAATAGCGAAGCCGAAAACACGAGTAGCCGCGCATTAAAACTGCCCCGCCATTATTGCTGACATTGAGTTGTTTGGCTTGTTTCAAATGGCGGTTCTCTAGTCATGTTTTCTTCAATTCTGTGTAATAGTTCTCATTCACAACGTAATAACACCACGACGGTTGGTTTGACAAACTTTATAAACTCAGTAGGGATGGTTTCGAATCGCAGGTGAGTCTTGTTCGAGGAACATGAGCACTGAAAGTCGCGAGGTGGAGCGATGTGGTCATCGTGCTAACTGAATGAAAAGAACTATCAAACAAAAACTAGAGCTAAGACAGAGCTAAGAAGTATAATTTTGTTTTATTGATTCAGTAAAGAGTTGATAAATGAAAAAATTGTTCTATTTTTTCAATATTTTTAAATCTTTTCTTCAACATGTGTCCTCAAAATATATTCAGATATAATGTCATAATTTAAACAGATTAATTTTGTGGTAGAAAATACACATTGAAAATGAAACAAACACAAAACTCACAATGAGTGTAGGTTTCCATGTTGGTATGACTGTGTAATGTTCCGCGCATGAGCAAAGACATTCCCATTAAAAATTTTCATCAGGCAGTGCCAATGAAAAGACTGCGTCCAAAAAACCCTCTTGTGCTATTGTTACATCTGTTCTATCACGGTCGCGGAAAGTTTTTTATTCGAACGTCCTTTTTCAAAGAAGCGACCGTTTTTGGGGTAACCTGTACACGAGCGAAAAGGAGCCATGCTATTTGTTGGGTTTGGCTCGGCTCCCCCCTCTCTCTTCCCTTTTCGTTGACGAGTCGAGCTTTGCTATGGAAACAGTGATTTTGACGGCAATTTTCTCAGATTTTTCTCAGATTTTCTCAGATTTCAACCATATTCCAGAATTGAAATCACGTCTCAGAATTCTACCAGTCTGCAAAATCTCATCAAAATCGTACAGAGAGGTTTCGACTTGCATAAGGGGCCACGCGATCAAATCCCAGCGAGGCTGAATCCTGGGGGATACTATAAGGCTACTTCGTGCCTAAAAATGGACAGTCTCCGTTAAATTTCCGTATTTTTGCGGAGTTTTCTGACAGTGAAGTTGTACAAACATCATCAATGCCCAGAAGTACGGACCAAATTCATGGTAGATAGTACGTTGTAAGATGGTAGTAAGGTAAGGGAGAGTGAGGTAGTTCTAGACGCCTTTTTTTTGGGGCGGGGGGCTCTTTGAGCTTGAATATGCTTCTTGGGTCAAATGTTATTACAGGACAGTAAAGTATGGACCTTTACCTTCAAAATGATATGCATGAAAGCCAAATCTCAGCAACGGTTAGGGAGATATAGGCGCCTAACAAAAGCCCTGCACGTGTCCGGAATTGCCCCAGCCTGGGGTAATTCCGGACGACCTTATGATTTGACACTACTCGAGCTTACTTTCGCTTGTTTTGATGTGAGGCATGCTTTTAGAAGGCGTACAAGGACATTTGCTGCGAACCAAAGTGTTTGACTTTTACTCAAAACATGAATAGTTTCTATTAGAACCCCTAAATTGACAACACTGCCTTCAGTATAGCCAAAAAAGGAAAAATACGTATCATGGTTGCACAAATTACTTGCATAAGTACTGACAAAATGATAAAAAGTCAATAACGTGCTGAGAGTGGGCCTTTGAAGTACCCTATTGCCCCCTATGAAGCAAACTTGTGTCCCTGGGGACCAAAGAATAGCCAGTTCACCTCAAGTCGTTTCGCACCGTCAAAACACACACTCTAAATGTTTTACAATGAAATTTGACCTATGTTATCCGTATGTTACTGTGGATTCGGCGCAAGCATTATACGAAAGAATAATCCTTCGTGATACGAATCTTTTTAGCTTTTTCATTGTAAGATACAAAGAAAAACCTTCGTAATACGAAGAAAAACCACCTTCGTATTATGCTTGAGCCATTTCCTTCGTATTATGGGAAATTTCTTCGTAAGACATTTAGAGTGCAGGCCAGCTGTTAAAAGAAGGTGCGCGCCCACGCCCACATTCCGAACAGTGATGGCTTTTGATTGGCCTGTATTACCAAAACAAGCGGTGAATGTGTTTTGACGACAGACAGAATAACAGAATCAGGGTTAGCCCAGCGAACAAACGCCTGGGAGCTCTCGCTCTCTCTTGCGCCCATCTAGCCTGCCTTCGTGTGCTTGAGAGAGTCAAACGAAGACGGCTGAACATCACGAGTGCTTGCTGTCGACTACGTCCGACTACGTCCCTACGTCGTTCGAGACATACGAGCGGTTGCACCGCCAAGATGGATCTATCGGTAAGTCACGGCTGAAAGCAATCAGGTTTCGCAAAAGAAAGTTTATTCACTGCTTGAATCTGGGCCATCTGCGGAATGGGAAGGAGCACAGTCAGGGTGTATCAGAGCAGGTCTGGACCGGAAGAAAGGAGTTGTTAACAACGAGGTAATTTCGAGGCGTAACGGCCCCGCTCCAGTGTTGTACTATTTGGTTCAAACCATGTTAAAGTGCGAAGTAACGTCAACACACTGGCACATTTCAAGCAGCACGTTTACTTTTGAGCTTCCAGTTGAGATGGAAGCCCCCGACTTCCGGTCCAGGCCTCTTCGCACTGTGGCGAAAAGATTCGGAAAATTCTGCATATTTATTTGCCACGATTCTCCGTAGGCCTCTTATCAATTCTCCGTTGGCTTACAGTGTTCTCCGTAGGATCGTACAGTCTTACCCTCAGGGCGTAGAAGATTGTTTAGTCCTACGAAAAATTGCCACAAGCTGTTGACAGAATTTTCCGCACCCTTTTGCCACAGTGTTTGAGATACCCTTTTCCTAAAGCTTTGAACATGAAACGGACGGTGCAATGCGTTGAGACATCGCACTCCTCGTGCAACAGGTTACTTTGCAGGAAATGCAGACCGGAAGTCAGCAAGAGAGCGGGAAAAACAAAAGAGTATTGCAGGTGCGAGCTAATAGGGTACTTTCGTAGAATCCTGAACCGGAAGCAAGCAGACCAGCAGACGCCAAATTGGCCGGAAACTAACCTCTCTTCGGATCCAAAACTATAGCCGAGCTGTACAAATATTGCTCGCGAAACACATATGCACTGCAAACAAGTATCAAACAACTGTTTATGTTCAAGTGTGGCCGATACGTTTGACGAACGTCTCTTTCCCATGTCAAGTTTGGATCTACTTCCGCCAACATGGCGTCTGTGTGCTTCCGGTTCAGGGATTCACGAAAGTACCCTATCGGTGGTGGCGGTTGTAAATGGGCAGAGTTTGGGTAACGTGCGCTCGTTACGACTAGCCCTGCGTAACCCATGTAAGCCCCCTCACTGTCAGACTGTTATTGACCTATTATATTTTGTTAAAGAGTGTTTTTACACAGCAATTAAAAGTGCTATGTCTTCAACATCTATGCCAGGTTTAGTTCGTTACATTGATTTAAAGTCAGTTTGCAATAGTGTCAATACGCAATGGACTTCAAAAATAGTCAACATCTGATGACAATTTAGTCTTTATAGTCATCGATACTGTGCATCGTTTCGAAGGTAACCCTATATATTATTGCTGCTTAAAAAACTACGGAAGCAAACAATAAAAAGTCAATAATGGAGAGAAAAAAGTCCGAGAGCGCACCACCGCTCAGGGCGGGTGCGCTACGCTTTCACTTCTCCCGTTCTCTTGCTGATTTTGCTGATTCCCGGTGTGGATTTGCTCTGAAGAACTCTGTATCCACGCCTCGTCCCACCTCTGAGTCAGCGTTGCGTAGAAGTTCACTCTAAATGTTGTACAGTGAAGATTCGCCATATTATGGTGAAAATGTTCCATATTATGGTGGTGCAGCTGCCTTCGTAACATACCATTGAGAATTCACTGTACCTTATAGAGATTTTGACGAATTTCGTTGGTATTATGGAGAAAATCTCCACCATGTTGGTGCAGCCTTTCACCGTAAGACATTTACTGTGTTGTTTTAGAGTCCTCCTATTGTTCTTTGACTTCCGGTGCAGAGTTTTATTCAAATAACACCTTATGTGTTCATTTTCAAAATTACCACATACTAAAAGTGTTGAAATTCTGCCAAAGCCCCGTTTAAAGCCAATCTCAGTATTGTAGAACGGATGTGACATTCTCTACAGTGCGATTAAGCTCGACCCCAGTTTTGCTTGATCCATGTTTTAATTTTCCCTCATGGCACTATAAAATTGCTCATTTAATGCCCATGGCCCTTTTGATCAGTTCAGTCATGCCCCTGAGACGTCACGATGTCACACCGATGTATATTCATTGCATTGACTAATCGATAACGATCATTCACTGTTAGAAATTTTGTCGTAAATTAGCGACAAAAAAAGTCGCTAATTTTCATAGCGACGGAAGTCGTTCTTAAACTACTTCGTCGTAACTGAACGACGTTAACGTCATTTCTCTACGACTATGTCGTAATCGCGGTTACATATTTTAAAATCTGAAATATCCAAAAAGTTAGTAAAAAGTTACTATTTTGCTCGCTTATTTACGATTTATGTCGTTCATTTACGATTCGAAACACAAATTTACGACAAGAGTCGCAAATATACGGCAGAAGTCATAACTGCACGACATATTCAACAAATAAATTACGATCGTTCGTAAACTTACGATTAAGTCGTAAATTTACGACTTCACTCGTTTCAAAACGGAACGTCTCGCTATCAAAATTAGCGACAAATATGTCGTATATTTACGACTCAAGTCGTATATTTACGACTTTGGTCGTAACAGAAAATGTCGTTTAAAAACAACGTAATTGTTCTACAAAATGTCGTAAATTTACGATTATTTTTAACAGTGCACGACTAGAATGGTCTATTGTCCAAGACGAATTTTTATGTCTTGGTACCCTTTCAACCTCTTGTATGTGCAACAGTTATTAACTTTAGACTTTTATTCGTATTATCTACACTTTTGTTAGTACTTACGGACAAAGAAAACAATTCCTACTTAATTTTATGCAGCAAACTGTTCGTATCCAAGAAGAAAATACTAAGTATTATTGTTGTAGGCTATAGTACCTGGTTACTGACGATTAAGGGGAGGTTCTGGTGAAAATGCTATTTTCTCCTAAATAGGTCCCACTGTGAAAATTTGTTAAAAATTTGATGTCTTACCAAGTAATTATTAAAATTTTTCAATGGGCAGGCACATTCTGTGCGCTGAACCCAGTCGCAGAGCCTTTTTCTCCTATTTAGGCTATAACTTTAAAAATCATCTTGCGCATACTATTTAGTCGTAAAAGGTTGGCCTTGACATTTTTCACTTCGATTGATTTTTAAAAGATGCTGGCATGCAGAACTCAAAACGTAAATTACACTTTTATTCGCAAGCTTTCTAGCCAAGCATTTCACTATAAATGACCAAAAATGTACAAAATAGACAAATTGTAGGGACTTTTCAGCTTAAAAAGCTTACAATTAATAATGTTGTGGAAATTTTGAGCTATGCATGCCGGCATCTTTTGAAAATGAATCGAAGAAGTGCAAAATGTCAAGGTCAACCTTTTACGACAAAATAGTATGCGCAAGAAGATTTTTTAAGATACAGCCAAAATAGGATCAAAAAGACCCTTCGACTGGGTTCAGAGCCTGGTATGTGCCTTCAAAAGTCAAATTTTAGACTCCTCAAAGAAAGATATTAAATGCCGAACAAATTGCGACAGTGCGATCCATTTGGAAAATAGCAAGATTTTCACCAGATCCTCCCCTTAAGTCTACAAGAGGCTGAGAGTGAGGGCTACGGAGAATCTTGGCAAATAAATTAACACAATTCTCCGCGCCTTTTTGCCACAGTGCAGTTGTATGACACTTGTCACCGTAGAATATTAGTGCATTCCCAAAATTAGAGTAACTTTCTCCGTAAAGTTATGGACTGAATCTCTTAAGGTGCGCGGTTGTGTTTGTGCCTGCAGCTGCTATCCCTGCCGGACGACGCGCTGCTGGCCGTGCTGGCCTACTTGCCTCCGAGGGACCTCTTCCGCTGCCGCGTGGCGTGCCGCCGCCTCAGGGACCTCTGCGTGCACGCGGACCTGTGGCGCCCCGTGCGGCTGGAGGATGGGGGCATCATCCGCGCCGCCCTGCGCTTGGTCCCCTGCCTGGCCGGCATCGACGTCTGGTGTACCAGTCGTGACTTGGAGCTGACGGCCTCCGTCCTGTCCACCAGCTCGTGTGTCGTCAACAAGCTCGTAATCCGCGTCTGGGACGACGCCAGCCTGGCTTGGGCCACGGCCATTGTCGAAAGGATGTGCGCCCTCGGCGGCCTGCGATCGCTTCACCTGAAAATGCAGTACGAAATGCCCACCGAGCCCTTGCCCCCACTCATGAGAATGCTGTACGCCATGCGGCAACTCCGTGAACTGCATTTATACATTGATGCGTGGTTATTTGAGGCGGCGTGGCCGGGCGACGGGAGGGCGTTTCTTACCACGCTGAAGTACGAGGCAGTAGTGGCCGCCGAGAACATGCTCGAATCACTCTTGGCAACGCATGCCGCCACGCTCGAAGAAGTGGACTTTGGATTTTCAGAAGTCCCCGTGCCTTTGCTGGCGAAGTTACCAAGACTGCGCCACTTGACCTACGTCCCGGCAAAGATCTGCATTGATCATCTACCTCAATTGCATGCGTTGTTCCCCAGGCTCGAGACTCTCAATTTGTCAGACATATCGGAGGAGCCATTCTTTCCCCCTCAGCTGTTGGACTTGCTCCGCAAGTCATCCAAACTGAGGTCGATTGCGCTAGGACTACCAGCGGTCAACCCTGTTGCGCCCCTGGTAGCTTTGGGCCAGTCACCCTCCGCCCCCTACATCAAGTCCCTGGAGCTGTCCTGCAACTCGCTGGATCTGGTGGAAACTGTGCTGCCCCTGTTCCCCTCCCTGCAGACTCTGGTCGCGAACGCGCGGCCGTCCGACCAGTTCCTACAAGGAATCAGTCCCAAGTCGGCGCCAAGCCTTACTTTGCTGTCCATCATCTGTGGTGACCATGGCTCGTGCCACCACGCCTCGCTCCATCGTCCCGCCATCTTGGACCTTCTTACCAGGAACACTGCCCTGCACCTCCTACCGTGGTCAGAACACTTCAAGGTCCCCACGTCCTGCGACTGCGAGTTCTGCCTCTTAGGCTGCCACGCGGAGCTCAAAGGCCGGTCCTGGAGTGACGGAAAGAGGCCCAGGTTTGCATCGCACGCGAGGAGGGCTGGATGCTTCAGCGACTGCACTAGGATCTGACGTAGCCGTCTCATCTACGGCGCGCATGTATCCGCGCATCTGTCTGGCCCGATTCCTTCGACTGAAAATTGTAATTAACCCTTCAGTTATTGTTTCTATTTTACTCATCAATGCTGACCTGTCATGTCTGAAGCAAGTACTGTAATTACTTTGAATAAGAACCCGAGGCAATTTATACACCTTCGGAGATGTGCTCTCTTGACTTTAATAAGTAAAGCTACATTTTGGATGATAGAGTTGTTTCTTGTTTTTTTTTATTTGTTCCAAACCAGCTTTCCAGAAGTAAATACTCTACCGTGGAAACGTTCCTATGACAATAAAATTGTCTGTCAAGTCTCTTTGGTACCGATGACGCACAGACTAAATTCGCCCGTACTCAACTCAGTGCACTCACAAGTTCAACAAGGGCTAGTTTTTCGCTCGATTTGGCTTTGAGTGCCGTTCAAAGCGCTAAATAAAGCCTTAAAACGTTTACAAATGTGAAATTTATGAATAAAGAAAGGTGTACTCATAAACTCATGTGTACACCAGAGTGATTCGATTCACCCCTCGAGTTTTTAAAGCGCGCTCAGAACAATCATTGCGAATATTTATGCACTATTTTGTTTCTGGTAATTGGACGTAAAAATCCTATGGAGAAAAGGGACAATATTGCAACCAACGTGGAAACGTTTTAGACGTTACAAACCGTCCATAGAAGGTGAGAGACCGTCCAAAAACGTGATAGAAAATATGGTCCATTTGAAACTTGAAAATTTTGCGACATCACTTCTAAATGTCTTACAATGAATTTTGACCTACGTTATTCGTTTGTTACAGTGCAAGCATAATCAGCGCAAGCATAATACGAAGCAATATTCCTTCGTAATACGAATCTTTTTAGCTTTTTCACTGTAAGATACAAAGAAAAACCTTCGTAATACGAAGAAAAACCACCTTCGTATGATGCTTGCGCCATTCCCTTCGTATTATGGGAAACTTCTTCGTAAGACATTTAGAGTGATGACCAAACAAAGTTCTAAAGCGTACCCTTGAACCCTTGCTTGAACCTTGGCCGCCATCACGTATCCGCCTTCCGCACCGTCAAACCTTCATCCCATAAATTTACGCAGAAAGTTGATCAAATTTGAGGATGGGAAGTTTTTGATTTGTGTTGATGCAGATTGCACAGTCGTATAATGTCATTTCAGCCAGATACAAATAAAATGGTCAAAAAGTACAATAAGCGATCAAATTTATTTGACAGACAAAAGTACAATAAGTGATCAAATTTATTTGACAGACAAAAGTACAATAAGTGATCAAATTTATTTGACAGACAAAAGTACAATAAGTGATCAAATTTATTTCACAGACAAAAGAAAAAAACGTGTCTCGAGGATAAACTCTTAACAGACAAAAGTACAATAAGTGATCAAATTTATTTAGCAGACAAAAGAAAAAAAACGTGTCTAGACGATAAACCCAACACCTCAAGAGAATAGAAATAAAGAAAGTTTCGCTGTTTGGTACACGGGCGGTTCGAAATGGAGGAAGGCCGTTGTCACCCCGAGCCCTCGCTGGTTCCACTGCCGATGCCAAAGTGGCTAGTGTAAGCCCTGACCACGTAGCGCATGTAGTGGATCACGGGAGGATAGCCTGGCGGCGGTGGCGGGAGGTCCTCCACTCGCGGGATCCACGACGGTAGAGCTGCGGCGGACGGCTGCGCCCCTGCAGGCAACAACAACAATATTAGGTGGTTAAAATACACTCTCAGCCTTTTACTGACTATTTCTCATTCGCAGACACATTTCTGTAAGCAACATACTTAGCATTTTTTGTCAGTATTACTTATCAATTGCTAATTACTGTACTGATATTACCGTTTTCTTAGTAAATTACAAAGAAATTTTAAAGTATTCAGGAACTAAATACTAAGTATTATGGTTGCTTACAGAAATACGTCTGCTAATGAGAAAAAGTCAGTGAACGGCTGAGAGTGTACCAAATCCGTTCTCACTCTTCCCACTTCATGATGTAAATTGCCTTGATGAAGCAATGTTCCGTTTCAGTAAAGAAATCTCAATTGGGACGATATTCAAAATTTACTTTAACTCCTTGGAAACTATAAGCACGTTCCTTCTAGACTCCAGGGTGAGCCTGATAAGGATAACACACACTAAACTCTTATGAACTTTTTAATGCATTATTAGGCATTCACAGAAACGTACGTAAGGCGTGAATAATATTATGTGTAACTATGTACATTTTCTGCAGGAAGGTACACAAAGTGTACACAATGATGCATAATATGATACACGCACTACGTATCTGTGCATGCATTAAAAAAATCATACACTGGTAAAACAAAGGCATAAAAATTATGCCCTTTGGGGCATAAATACTCTTTTACGCCCTTGCAAGGGCATAAATCGTATATGCCCTTGGGAAGGGCGTAATGGTATAGGAATTTCAAGCAAAATTTTAATGCCCTCCCCAATGGCATTAACGATTTATGCCCTTGAAGGGCGTAAATCGTTTAGGTATGCCCATAAAGGGCATAATTTTAATGCCTTTGTTTCACCAGTGTAAATGTGCATTGATAAGGTGCGTAGTGTGCAGTACACTGTTGTCCAACGAATGTGAATTGTGTCACACTCGCTTAAATACCACATCAGATTCGTTTTAACGTGGATCAACAATACGAATGTGACTTCACATTCAACCGAACGTGAGACTATTCGAGTACGACCGAATAAGACTTCACATTCGTTGCAAGAAAGGTTATGTAAACAGGGCACCCAAACACAACACTTTGCCATGCATAAAAATAAAAGCAGCTATAACCATCACCTGCAAGCCCAGCAAGCACTACCACCCTACTCCCCGCCAGTCGCGACGAGCCAATCCACCACAAACTGTCGTCCGTCGTCGTACTGAGCGCCTAGTTCGTCATGTGTCACGTGATACTTCTCCTGGACTTCGGCCACACGGACTTAATAGGCCGTCCTGTCATTGTGTAGGGGCTAAGTGCCCTCCGAGCACCTCCACGAGACAATAGGCGAGGCACGGGCTCACAGTGGGCCGGAAGACCGGCGCCAGCGGCCAAAACTCTGGACGCGTTTTGAACTCCAGAGTCGCTAAACGGGACTTGGATCAAGCGTGTGACCCCGCCAATGGATTCCTCGAATGGATTCCTCGCCCAACGAGTGATCCATTGGCAGGGTCACACGTTCGCTTCGAGTTCCCTTTAGCGACTCCCAAGGTCAAAACGCGTCCGGGTTTTGACCGTTTCCACCGGTCTTCTGGCCCACTGAGATGAGGGCCCGTCATGCTGAGCTCGGCGGAGGTAGAATCCCGGAGGCCACGTCGCATTGTCGTCCCAGTCGCCACGGCCAGGCTGGGAGATCCTGCGTGCTGCGTCCCTGCCAGGACCTCCTTCATCTACGTTGCAGTTGCGTACATCGTCGAGGCCACGGTCCTGGACCTCCGCAGAAAGCTCCACGCAGATCCTGGGTGCTCAGATCCAGCCCACAGCTGATGAAAACACCGCCGGCAGACTCACGGCTGTCCACTTTAAATCCAAAGGCAATACTTCTAGTACCTTTTTTGGCGATACAATTGAGTATCGCCAATAAATGGCCTTACGGAAAAGTATTGCCTTCAAAACGGCGATACACAAAAGAATCGCCAAAATTTGGCGATACTTTTGAGTATTGCAACGATTTGGCAATAAACGACGAACAAATCGAGGGGACAAAACTTTAGTTTAATGCCGTGGTTTTGGCCACCCAAAAGTATCGCCAAATTTTTGGCGATATTTCTGTGTATCGCCGTTCTGAAGGCAATACTGTTCCGTAAGGCCGTTAATTGGCGATACTCAATTGTATCGCCAAAAAATGTACTTTAGTATCGCCTTCGCATTTGCAGTGTCCTAAATCCTGCGCACTTCACTCCTATTAAAGTTTAAAAGTATATATTTTGAGTATCAGGGTGAAAGTTCTCCATTTTGAAGTGATGCAGCTGACTTTGTAACTTACCTCCAAAAAATCACTGTACCTAAAAGATATTTTTAAAAACTTGAGTACACTGGAGAAAATTTCCACCATAATGTGTAATCTTGTTCTTACATATAGGCAATATCTTATGGAAAGTTACAAAATGTCACAATTAATTTTGTTACGTTGGCAGACTCCACTGTAGATTCCCAACAAGTCTGTTCTGTGTGTTCCATCCATTAAGACAAAGCCGGGAAGCAAAGCAAGCGCACGCGAACACAAGCAATGAAGCAAGAGCAATGCAAGCAGCGTAGGCCACAACTAGTACAGAGGCGAAAGCACTGATCACGACACAAAGTCTTCCTACAAAGCCTACAAAGGATCACACAAAGGATCATACAAAGGAGCCTACGTAATACGAAGGAAATGAACACTGAAATTCGAAGGGTGAGACTTCTGACAAATTTTCGGTGATACAAAAAGTATGACAGAAAAACGGTCATACACGAATGTATGACCGAAAAACGGTCATACACGAATGTATGACCGAAAAAATTGTCAACCGAAAAATCTGTCACCGAGAAAAGGTCAGACATCAGCGAGAATGGCCATTTTTTTAGCTTGGGGATGTATCCACCTTTCTCTGTGATACAGTAAAGTATGACCATTCGGCATACATCAAAATATGGCCCTTTATCGGTCTAACTTTTCAGTCCCTTAAAGGGCTAAAAATTCTGACCTTTCTATTTTCAGTGAAGGCATTGTAAAATCTACGAGGAAATGCTACGCAAAACGAATCTACATCCTTCAAAATACGAAGCAATCCTATAATGCCTTTCTTTCTTTCTTTCGTAAAGAAATCCTTTCCATGTGAACCCTCGAATTTCTGACTAGTGCTCATACACGCACGGTGTCATGTCTTATTGCACTGCACCTATGTGCACTGTGTAAAGAATACTCCGAAAACTCCCCAAAAGTTTACTCAGTACACACTCTTCGGCGTGCACTCATGAGTTTAATCGCACGAGCGTGCCCTCATTTGAGTACATGCCATGAGAGTGTATTCAGAAGGGTACACACCGTTTGCTGCATAGATTGTCAGGGGCGCTCGGGTGTCTACACATTTGAGTACAGCCTCCTGGCAGCCCTCGCATTCCAGGAGCGTGACACAATAATGCTCAAAACGTGACATTTTGTCACGCTCGTTTCAACGTGAAGTCACTTTCCCGGAGTGAAAGTGAATGCTCTCATGAGGACACTACCGTGGAAGTACACTCGAGAGGTACACGCCGGAGAGAGGGAGAGAGAGTATTGAGTACACTGTTGACTTTCCAAAGTACCCTACAATTTAAATAAAAAGCTCGCATGTCATGACATTGTTGTCACATTCGTTTGAACGTGATGTCACGTTCCTGAAATGAGTGTGTTGCCCACTCCTGCTCCAACGCGATACTACAAGCGACTTCACCTTCACAGCAACCCTTACAACATTAGGAAGGAATCCTTGCAAATCCGCTCCACTGTCTTCGGCGTACCTTTGGCCTTGAGCCACGGCATGTCCCGCAGCACGTCCCTGCGCCACTCGGCGTAGTCGTAGGTCAGCTCCTCGCCGACCTGGATGTCTTGCTTGGCGACGAGGCCGACGCGGGGCTGGCCGTCCACCGCGAACAGTTGCAGCTTCAAGTTCTCATCGCCCCGGGCGTGGTTCACCAGCCGGCCGAGATGGGGTGTTTCGGCGGTGGCGTCGATACTGCAACAGGCACGAAATTTTGACTGCACAGCCAAGTTGACTTCGTTCGTCTCGGACACTCTTCAAACCGAAGTTTGTACTCAGTATGCATCTACAGTTGCATACTTATAAGTACACACCTACAGATGCATACTTGGCTGAGCACACATCTACAGATGCATACCCTCGTGCATACCTGTCGTCAAGTATGATATGTAGAAGTGTAATCAGCTAAGTACGTATCTGTAGGTGTGTACTTATAAGCATGCATCTGAAGATGCATACTGAGTACACACACTAAATTCTTATGGACTTTTTAAATGCATAAGGACGCATTTTTTATGCATAGTTATGCATGCGCAGAAACGTCCATAAGGTATGTATAAAATTATGCATCACTAAGTACATTTTATGCATTTTCCTGCATAAAATGTACACAGTAATGCATAATATTATACATAACATACGGACGTATCTGTGCATGCATAACTATGCATAAAAAAGTCCATAAGAATTTAGTGTGCACACATCAGTTTGTAGAGCACGCTTAAAAGCGTGAATCGCGTCACGTAACGGATCTCTTCAGGTGGCCGCAGACGGTATTGCATTGACTCACTTCGACTTTCGACTGACACAACCTACTCTTTGCCAAAATATAGAAACATTGCTTGGGTCAAATTTGAAACAAGTTTCCTTACAGGTACAGCTCTCTTACGTTTATGGCCCAAAAGTAAAAAAAGGATTAAAAGTACACATCTCTGCCTCTGCCATATTAAACCACTAAGGTGTCACGAAACCCACCATTTTATTAAGTGGATATGATCCGCCGAATGAGTACCTTAACTTGGCCAGATGTTAGGCCACATCAATAGACAAGTTTTTTTTTTTAAAAAACAAGTTTCTCGAAAGTTTGAGTTTTCTCACTAATGTACATAGGACACTCTTATTTAGAGCATGCCTCCAAGCCGAGGGGGTATGCACTGACGTAAGAGTCAGGTCACTGTGTAATAGGAGAGTGAAGTCACTAAAGGAGAGTAAATTATTATAAGAAGTACTTACCACATCCACTTCTCTTTGTACTTAAACTCTAAAATGTAGCTGTTGTCGTGCAGGCTGTACAGTTTGATCCGCTCATTGGCCTCTGACCTCGTCACTAAGTCCCCTTTATACTCCAAGATGAATTCGCCCTTGTGAAACGGCCTCGTGGCGACCACCCCTCTGCCCTTGGCCCCGAAATGACGAACCTGGAAGAACACAGAAACACACTTAGAATCAGGGGCCGCGGAACTACAGGTATGAGAGGTGAAGAGAGGGAGAGAGAGAGAGAGAGAGAGAGAGAGAGAGAGAGAGAGAGAGAGAGAGAGAGAGAGAGAAAAAAGAGGCGGGAGACGCAGGAGGGGGAAGCATTTTTTTTTTAACCTGTAAATGACTTGACAATTTCTCCTCATTTAAAGGAGCAACAATACACTGGCGAAGCAAAGGCAAATCGTTATGCCTTTGAGCATTAAATTGCTTGAAATTCCTATACCATTTCGCCCTTCCCAGGGATAAACGATTTAATGGGGGAAAACACTTATTTATGCCCCAAAGGGCGGGAATTTAAAAAGGCCTGTTTTTAATACCAGAGTAAGTTTACTTAATTCCTTAACAAGATTAAAACGCGTTTTCTTTTACAAACTTAATGTGCGTTGCGTGCAGGCTGTACAATTTGTACCCCTCATTCCCGAACGAATTTTATTCCAAAATAATCGCACCGGAAACGCCTCTCACCCCCTCTGACCTTTTCCCAAAAAGGATGGGAAAAGAAAACTTGAATCACCCAAATACGGAAGGGTGGGGGTGGTGGGAGCATAGCAGGGTCAGCGAGGGATGAGTCCCGAAAAAAGGCAAACACTAAAGTTACTAGAGATAGGATTCCTGCGCGTCAAGCAAAAGAAAGTAAAATGCATGTAACGCACGAAGGCGCGACAATGAGATTTCGAGAGCAAGAGAGAAAATCCGGGGGAAGCATTTTTTTAAAACTGTTAATTCGTGCGTTACGAAGGCGTCTTAACATTTTAATTTGATTTGCGTCGTGAAAAACTTGTTATGCTTCTTAACGAAACTATTTTATACGCAGAGATGTCAATAAATACAGATAAAAAGTCAATTGAAGGATGAGTGTCTATTTTCCAAAAAGGTTGGTCAAATACGCTCTCATCCTTCAATCGAATCGACGTTTCATCCTTATTCATAGACGTTTCCCCGCATTAGTATAAATTTGAAAAGAGGCTCGACAGATTCGTTAAGAAGAATAATTATAATCTTATTTGTAATACGTGTAAAAATGTTAACATTATCATTAATGTGCACAAGAGTCAATACGTTATTTTTAAAAAAAGGCAAGACACTCTCATTTCCAGGGAACGTGACAAATTTACCCTTGGAAACCGGGGGAACCGTTTTTTAAAAAAAAAATGCTCAAACGAAGGTTTTACGTTCGTTTCAACGTGATGTCACGTTCCTGGAATGAGAGTGGACTCAGTGCTAATCTCAAAGTGTAAAAACAAACGTGAATAAAGTTACCTCCAGGCCATCCTCCGCGCCTGTCAGGAGACGAGTCGGGACCGTCGGTGCCGTATCCGCCTTTCGTTTTCGGGCCGGGTTACGCCTGCGAGCTGGAGGCATGGTTGGCTGCACAAAAGGTATAACAATCAACACCAGCGTACACTGTTACGCAGCGAATGTGAATTTCGTCACGTTCACTAGACGAAAATTTCACATTCCTTGTAACGAGACACGGCCGTTTAATTAGGACGTCACATTCGTTTGAAAGTGAATGGATCATCATCAACTCCGAATGAATGTGATATCATGTCCATACGAACTTGACAAGATTCACATTCTTACGAATGTGATGTCACATCCGTTGATCAAAAGTATACTGTACACAATAAGTGCACATACACGAATTTGAATAAAGGGAACTGTCCGCGAAGATACTATGATGAAAAAGGGCACTGAGAATACTCTAAGCCACTTAAGGGCATTCTACAAGATGCATGTACGTATGAAGTGTTTGTCATTTTACAACAGACAACGGAAAATGCTGAAAGCAACTTGTGAAAGGCAAATGTCGCGGAGATTCTGCTAAGATTTTCTCAGAATCTTTGGTAAAAGAAACCAAGAAAGGTGGGGTCCGCTCACCAACGACGTGTCGAAGTTTTGTACTCTTGTCACCGATGCGTTGCGGTGTTACGCTAGCCTAGCCCCTCGACGTAACAATGCTGTAACTTTTTTTAAGCTAAACGTTAATTGACCATTCAAGTCGTAACTGAATGAAGGACAAGAAGAATCACAAAAGACAATGTTTTAGCACTTTTACTTTAAATATTTAAGACTCTTTGCTTGGTAGAATTTAGCGAGAATATTTTATAGTAAATACAACATACTTTCAGTGAACATATGCACTCTAAATGCCCCAAATGAGTCTTTTGTGATTCTTCTTGTTCTTCACTCGGCCACGTGGACCGAGATTTACTGCCTTTCTCTCCCAATCTTCAATCATCGTCAAGTGAAGAAAAGAAATAATCTAAAAGCCGGGAACCAGCAGGAACGTACCTACCAGTTATTGACTTTTTGATTGCTTCAAATCTATCGACATTTTATCCTTATTCATTGACGTTTCTGCACATTAACAGAAATTCGTGAAGAAGCTCAAAATACTTGTACGTCGTCATATACTTAATATTTGACAATTGCTCGGTACGAGAGTTAATCAGTTCCTCACCTGTTAATACGCCCTCCACCCGAAAGCAGCCTGCGGCGGTGATAGGGGTACAAACATGTGAGGGTTTGTTATGCACTCCTTGGCCGAAAAAACAAGTGGTCACAACATGACGGCAAATGTTGCTACTATTGGATGAGATTTACGTAAGGGTAAGGAAATGGGGTATTTTGGAGCAGCCGTGGCCCGGAAGAAGAAGAACAAAAACGGAAATTAGAAATGGCAGTTTTTATCAGAAATGTGCAGCGTATGTATTTCTCTTAAAAACTGCCATTTCTAACTTCCGTTTTTGTTCTTCTTCCGGCCAGGGCTGCTCCAAAATACCTTATTTGGCCAACTAGCCACTAGTTACTTTAATTTAATTTGGTGTGTGCCAGACCCTGTCTTGTCGTAACAGGCTTCGCGATGCTGCGCTTGGCAGTAGGGTACACTTCCCATTGCCTATGCAGTGTGGTCATAGTGCAAAGCGAATTTTCAGTAAAAATTTTCAGTAAATTTTCAGTAAACCTCGATACCAACCTATTACAATCCGAAGAAAATTGTTCCTGATGCGAAGGAACTGATATGAAGTTACAAAGAACTGTTCCCAATCGCTGTGTTGTCTAATTCTAAGCCTCTTGTTCGTATCACGATGGAAAAGCTCAGTCTCGGGAGAGAACTTCTAACGAGCTTACAATGGCTAAGTGCTGACAATTTAGCTTAACGAAACATACAGTGCTTTGAAATCACTGGTGTCTCGCGCTCTCCTCCGCGGTTGTACAGCAAACGGGTCCAGTGTTTCAGTAAATTTATTTTTCCAGAACAGTTAACGAAATTCCCTGACATTTCCCTGACCTCTTTTCCTCCTGACTTTTCCCTGATTCCAAGGTTTATAAACCCTGTTGATTTGTTCATAATTTCTTGCTAAATCTTGGGAATAATGAAACGTATCACCCGAAATTTTTCGGCTATACATTGGTGTATTGCTGTTCTGAAGGCGCCGTTTGTTGGCGATACTTTTGATTGTATCGTTGTTAAGGTACTAACAGGGAGACCTTTGGATTCAGAGTGAGCCGACGGCGGCCGACCACCTCGGTCGTGAAGATCTCTCCTTCGACTTCTTTCGCCCAGCTCAAGTCGTATGCGCACAAACGTCAATGAATATTGGTAAGATGTCCATAAGAGGATGAGTGTAAAAGCCTTGATCGAAATATTTTGGCGAAGAACAGACCTTTGTTGTTTTTGGTGGGTTAAGTATGATAAAGGTAGACACTGGGTATACAATAGAGTTTTGAAGTAATTGGTTTTATTCATATTGTAGTTTCTTAAACAGGTTCCATTCACATGTCAGCGTTCTAAATTAATTACCTTATTGCAGTGTTTCCATTGTTATCAAAAGTTTCAGTTAAGTTCGGAAGATAGAACTTCATGCGAATAATCAACAGTCAAAATTCTAAACTTTGCGATTAATCTAAACAGATGGGGTCTACCAACGTCAAGGGGAAAAGGGCTTTATTCATATTGTAGTATCTTAAACAGGTTCCATTCACACACACAAAATCTATGTGTGTACTCAGTACACACTTCTAGGTGCGTGCTTACAAGCATGCACTTCTAGGTGTGTACTTGCCTAAGCACGCACCTAGAAGTGTGTACTTGAATGAGTACACACTTATAAGTGGGTACTCACTGAGTACACACATAGAAGTGCATGCGTTTTCCCTATGCCGCGCATGCACCTCGCAAGTGTGTACTCACTGAGTACACACTTATAAGTGTGTACTCATTCAAGTACACACTTCTAGGTGCGTGCTTAGGCAAGTACACACCTAGAAGTGCATGCTTGCAAGCACGCACCTAGAAGTGTGTACTGAGTACACACATAGATTTTGTGTGCATGTCAGCGTTCTAAATTAATTACCTTACTACAGTGTTTCCATTGTTATCAAAAGTTTAATTCAAGTTCGGCAGATGGAACTAAATTCGAATAATCAACAGTCAACATTCTTAACTTTGCGATTGATTAATGATTTACAGAGACTGTGTCAACCTACGTCAAGGGGAAAAGGGTTGGGTGAATTGTCTTCCTTTTTCCCCGACACACTAAATTACTATGTAGGTTTTTCTGCGCGCTAATGCACGAAATTAAACATGCACTTCGTAACGCACGAATTTGTGCGCGACAATGCACGATTTCGTGCGCAAGTATGCAGAAAATCGTGCATTTTTGCGCACGAATTTGTGCGTTACGAAGTAGTGCACGTTTAATTTCGTGCATTAGCGCGCAGAAAAACCTACATAGTAATTAAGTGTGGAGTGAAGCAGCGTGGACCGCGATGGCTCGGTTAGCACGACGAATCAGCACTAATGAAGATAGCTCTCTTCAGATGTTCCACGCCACAGGGCTCTGTCGCCGCGTGACTGAACAGGGTCAGCTCGTACTTCACCGCGAAGTTGTGGCAGGTGTGCTTCTTGCAGAAGTCGCAGCTTTGCTTGCTGTGATCGTCGCACTCCATCGTGATGTGCAGCCCCGGGTGAAGCAGCATGAACGCCCGCAGTTCCTTGCAGTGGACCCACTCGTGCGGACAGCCTGGGAAGAAGGCCTTGAGCAGCTGAAGGTCGGGCAGCACTGCCGCGTCCAGAGCACTCAATACCTCCTCCGACAGCGGCCCGCCAAGGTCGAGGCTGGTGAGGTTCTGCAGGCGGTGCAGGATGGCCGCGAGATGCGGCAGCTGCGGTACCGGCACGGAAGGCCAAACTTCCCAATCATGTTGAGTATCATAGTACACGAACTTGAGGCTCCGCAGTGCCGGTACGACACCTTTGGACCCCGCCAGGCTCAGCACCAAGTCAGACGTCTGCGTGCAGCCCGCATCGGCGTACCAGTCATCTGTGTGGTCCAAAAACTCCAGCACCACGTGCTCCAGGCGCGTGGCGGCCAGGCGGAGGTACTCCCGCACACCAGGCAGGTAAGGCTCAACCGAATCCTTTATTGGATCGCCTGCCGTGGCTATAAGGCGAAGCGACGTCAGCGCGGGGCACTGCAGCAGGGCAGGCATGTTTTCCAGCAGAGGGCACGTCAGCTCACGCAGCCGGGGCATGGCGGACAGCTGGAGGGCAGCACTCGGATGGGGCATGACGTGGTTGAGACTCACCACCTGGAAAGAGGGAATTCGAACTGACATGTAAGAGGACTCTAAGCACACTTAATTCTTATGGACATTTTAAATGCATAAGGACGCATTTTTTATGCATAGTTATGCATGCGCAGAAACGTCCATAAGGTATGTATAAAATTATGCATCACTGTGTACATTATATGCATCTTCCTGCATAAAATGTACACAGTGATGCATAATATTATACATAACTTATGGACGTTTCTGCGCATGCATAACTATGCATTAAAAAGTCCATAAGAATTTAGTGTGTGGCCCTGTCCCCGTGTGTGTCGGGGAGTTTGGACTAGACGAGGGGGTATTCACTGGTGTAATAGTCTGTTCACCTTGGCCGTAATAATGCCTGTAATAATGGGTAATAACGCGTAATAATGTGTAATAATGTAAAATAATGTAAAATAAAGTGTAATAATGTGGAATAATGCGCAATAACGTGTAATATCACGTAATAATACGTAATGTACACATTTTTTACTGAAATTGCTGCACATATTGACTACAAAATGGAAATGGAGTTAATTTGCTACTCTGTGCAGCAACGTTTTCTACCATTCCGGTCCCGCCATCCTTTCTGTCTTCTTCGTCTTCCTCCACCCTTCCCTCCCCCTTCCCCCCACCCCCCAGATGTTCTTGTTGGCGGATCCAGCACTGAAAAACCAAACGTGGTCTAGACCACACCAACTGATGTGGTAATGGGTGCCATTTTGACCGCATTAGTTGGTGCGGTCTAGACCACGTTTGGTGCGAAAGACCACACCATACGTGGTCTAGACCTCACCAAACGTGCCTAAACGTGGTCTAGACCACACAAACTGATGCGGTCAAAGAGGCACCCATTTGACCCCACCAATGGTGTGGTCTAGACCACGTTTGGTTTTTTCGGTGAGAGCGGCCTATGCGGGGGGCGAAGTAGCACTTTTTGCCTACCTTTCAGGCGGCTACCTAGGGGCTAAGAAGAGGGGGGGGGTGGCAAAACCCCATTGCAAAAAAGTAAAATCGTGCTCTCAAGAAAATCTTTAGAAATACTATTGGTAAGGGGAGGTTTTGGAAAACAAAGGTCCATTTGAATCTTCCTGCCCATTCAAACAAACTCAAAACTTAAGTAACATGCAAGAGCATTCTATGGTATGAATAACTACAGCAGAATGGCGAACAAGGGAGAGGAGAAAAGAGGGGGCGGGGCAAAGTGGTGTTGGGCTTCCCTTTCGGTTAAAAATGGCCGTAATAATGACTGTAATTATCCTGTAATAACCCTGTAATAATGCGTAATAACGTAAAATAATGTGTAATAATGTAAAATAATGTGTGATGTAAAATAATGTGTAATAACGCGTAATAGCTGTAATAAGAGTAATAGCGACTACTCTGTGCGCCAGTTTTCGAAGTGAATACCCCCTCGGGACTAGAGCACTGTAAAATATTTCCGCGCTTTTGGATAAAGGGCGTTGTCGTATCGCAGGAAGCACCATGGCAAAAATTTATTCTCCGTCCACGCATCAAAGACAGCACGGCGACATAGGGAGACGCCATCCGAACGGAAGATCACCCCATAGCACCCCGTCAGAGTCTTAGCGGCCCCGCGGCCGTTCTGGCGGCCGGGCCGCGTTGTCCGAGGCCGGAGAAATAATTTTTGCCATGGCGCATTCTGCGATACGAGAGCACCGTTCTCGTAAATGCCTTGGCCAAAACCGAGGGGTCCACACTGGTGAAACAAAGGCATAAAAATTATACCCTTTAAGGGCGCCCCCTTTGGGAAGGGCACTAAAATTTTGCTTGAAATTCCTCTACCATTTACGCCCTTCCCAAGGGCATAGAACGATTTAAGCCCTTGGGAAGGGCGTAAAAGAGTATTTATGCCCTAAAAAGCGAAATTTTTATGCCTTTGTTTTACCAGTGCGCCACTCAGCTCAAGAGTGTACACAGGGTTACTGATTACCAGTGATTACGGTACGCACAAAAATTGTTTTTATTCTGGCCAGCTAAGAGCATTTTGACTTATTTTCATAAGGAAGACCCTCAAAATCCGATAAAAACGGCGAAAATAGCCAGTTTTGACGTGTGGTTACCGATGATTACTAGGCGAAGTGTACTTACACACGATTACGAGTGGTTGACCCCTCGGTCAAAACGCGATACGAGAGCACCTCGAGGACACCGTTCTCGTACGAAAATGGTCGTAGGACAACGAAACAACAGCCGAAATTTTCATGAGACCTTGTAGGTCCAAATTCTTTTGGTCTCACTTCCCCAGCTATGCCCGTTTCCTCGTTCTGGCCAGAACAAAAATTTGGCAAAATACGAGACGGCACGTTCTCGTACTGCAGTTTCGGCCCGCCCGATAGGTTGCATGTTCTCGTATCGCAGCGAACGTGTTGAAGGACTCACTCTCAAACCACTTTGAGGAAAGTCAATTCACAGATGCGTGTGCACAGGCGGGCAGTTTCATGGGTGAATACAAACCGATATGAAAATTTATACTGCGGTCAACATAACCGTATTCATTGGAATCAGGAATTCACCGCAGATGATTTGAGGTGTATAAACTATAATAAATATAATGAATGACAGTGTTGTGTTACGAATCGCCCCACCCTTTTCTCACCTCTAACGTGGTGGCATGCCACCCCAGGTGCAGGGGCAGGTATGGGTTCAGGAAGACATCACAGCACCGGGTGGACAACACCAGCTCCCGCAGGGTCGCTGACACAGGGGCACCAAATTCGGGTGAATTGAGGACTGGCAGCGGCTTGTTCGAGCCAATACAACGTACTTTCAGGTTTATAGATTCCAATCCTGAAAAGGTCAAAACCAGTGTCTGAGTCCCCGAGAAACAAAATGACGTCCCTGCTCTACAAATCCAAGAGCGTACATTGTATGCTCTAGCTGGAGCATGCCTGCAAGCACGCTCTAGCTAGCGCATGCCTATCAAGCATGCACTTACATGCCATGCATACATGCCATGTACACGCTTCCTGATGCAGGCAACTCCCTATCCCTTATGCACTAGATGCATGCTTGAGTTAGCGTGTACATGGCATGTATGCACTAGTAAGTGCATGCTTGGCAGGCATGCGCTAGCTAGAGCGTGCTTGCAGGCATGCTCCAGTTAGAGCATGCAATGTAAGCTCTTCGATTTGTAGATCAGTGCGTTCGTTCACGAAAGTGTTATGAAATGACATAACCATCCACGTTTGTATGAACCAGGTCCGCACGTTTTAAAGACTCTAGACTGCACATTTCACAAATTGTTGCCCAGATAATATATCGCAGTCGTGCCGACTTACCTTCTGAGTAACATAGTTGAGCTAAAAGCTGATTCAATCTACAATAATCTGAATCCTCGAAGTCGTATTCGTCAATACCAAGTTCGATTTCGACTGTTTTCAACCGGCCTAGGGAAGCTTGCCTGAAAACAGAACACACCTATAGGTTGAGGCGTAATCATCAAAGCAAGATCAGATACCTGATTTTATCTTATTCTATTTATATTCCTGCTCTATGCCCTTCCTGTGTTACAGAAAATCTGTTCGGGAACCCACTTTTTAGCAGATGATACCTTTACTCAAAAACATACCTAAAACTACAACTAAAAGACACATAAAGGTGTCAGCTAGCTTTTACTCGAGAGTCCAAAAACCAAGTGCGTATCCTAACAATATAATAGGGGCTGGCTGCCGGGGCGGGCTGGTGCGTCTGTGCCTGCGGCGCAGCCTGCGCGGAATTCGACAATGGCACCCCTCCTCGCGCGCGACGGCCTGGGCGCAACATTCACAATCCCTCCCCGCTACAGCGCACAAAGGACTCAGCTTTTAAATACTATCTTTGGAATGAACCCATACTACACCGTAGAAGAAAACCAAACGAGTATCATCTGCTTTCATTAACGTTCGTTGAATGAGATTTTTTCTTTAAATTCCAGTTCGAATTTGATTTTATTTCGAATCTTAAAATAGAGCCATACTGACATTTTTGACTGTACTTTTACTTCAGAAATTTGTCTATGTAATTTATGAACAATTTTATAGGTATCTTACTGATAAAAATCTGTTTAAAACGTATTGACATCTTGTATGTTAGCCTAACCAACAAATCGGTCACTAGTTATTTAGAAGAAGTATGGAGGCCTTCCGGAACTAATTTGTTAGTGCCTACAAAGAGATTTTGTCAGTTGTAAGAAAGAAAAGGAGTCAGTAGTAACTAATAAATGAAGTCAGTACATTGAAATGAAACTCTATGAACATGATCAATATTTGTTGCAGACATTACATATATTTATATGGACTTGCAAAACTTGTTGTTGACTAACAAGTGGTCCAACAAGCTCTCCGTTCCAAAACAAATCTTGTCACTGAAAAATAGGCATTAAAAGTGTCGTTTAGGAATGATGAAAGTTTTGTAAGTGATTATTCTTAAAAAATTTTAGTAACAATTTTATCAACAAATGTGTTAGTAATGCACCAAAAAATTGTCTATGAAATTGTACATATATCAAGGACTTTTTATTCGTGGCATATGAACACATTTCTAAGTATTATTGTAGCGTAACAAATTCGTATGCTTCTCAGGAAATGTTGCTGTTGCTTTGAACAAAAAGTCAATATGGCTTTGAGAGTGTCCCATTCGGCTCGACAACTTTTCCTTGATTGAATTCGGCTTTGAAACCTTTTTTCATGCTCCGATTTGAGTTTGATTCCAACTAAAAACCCTTGTTTCGCACATCCCTAGATTCATCTCAGTACCCCATGGTCAAGACACAAAACTTCACCTCCACGTCCTCACGGGATCGGACACTCAAAGAACGATCACTGCCGCCTCTACTTAAATTGCTCGAGTACTATAAATAGATATAATCCAGAAAAGCCGGTCACGTGGTGTGCGCCACCTACCTGCGCAGCAACAACCCCAAGAGCACAGTATCAGACGCACGGCCGTCGAAGGTGAGCGCGGCGATGCCACAGTTAATGGAGGTGACGGGCTCGGAAAGGAGCCGATCCAAGAGCTCCGGACTGTTCATGCACAGCGTGCCCAGGCAGGGGGCCAACCTCAACGCCGAAACGACCAGTTGAATGGACCTGCAAATGGAAGGAGTTCCTTGCCTGAGTTTCTTGAGACGTGGAAACGGTTGAAATTATAAGAGGGAAGGCGGATCGCGCCCGGTGGGCCCGAGCTTAAGTCCCCTGTGAAAGAGTTTATTGCCCGACTTCAGTGCACTGCTAATCCAAGGGTCCACGCTAGGAAACATGGACCAAGCTTCAAGGCGTAATTTAAGCGTAATGCGGTACATTTTCCGTTAAATTTCCGTACAGGCTCTTACGGGACGGCAGACGTCCGTAACACCATGTGATGGGGTAGGCGGGAACGCCGTAGCATGTTCCGTCACTCTCAGACTGTTATTGACTTTTTGTCCTTTGTTAAAGAGTATTTTACACAGCAATAAAATGTACTATTTCCTCAATATTTATGTAGGATTTTGTTCGTTATGTTGACATAAAGTCAATTTGCTATTGACAAAGAGTCAATACGCAATTGACTTAAAAAGAAGTCAATAGTTGATGACAAATTACTCTTTAAGGTGAACAATATTGTACATGATTACAAAGGAAATACTACATATTATTACTGCTTAAAAAACTACGTAAGCAAAGGACAAAATGCCAATAATGAAGAGAAAAAAGTCAATACGAGTCTGAGAGTGTAAGACCCTGAGCTTTTGCAGAGCGTTTGCAAGTACGCAAAAAAGTAACTTACTTTCTTGAGACCGTCAGGCACTTCTCCCGCCAGATGGTCGGGTGCAGCGCCAAGTCCCTCCACCGACGGCACACGCGGCGGCACTGTAACAGCTGTCGGGGCGACAGGTAGCTCAGCACCTCCAGCAACGGGTCGTCGGGCAGCGCGCCCAGCCCCACCTGAAAGGGAGACTCAGTTGGTGACGCGGAAGCAATCAGTAGGTGCACTGGTAAAACTAAAGCGTATGCTGGGGTTAAGCATAAAGTTACGCTTGAAGACACTAAGCTTGAAGTGAAGCATACTCTACAAATCCGAAAGCGCACATTGTATGCTCTACCTGGAGCATGCCTGAGAGCACGCTCCAGCTAGCGCATGCCTGCCAAGCATGCACTTACAAGTGCATACAAGCCAATGAGAGTGTAGGAGGAAGTTTTTTTAAATACTTAAGCGCAATATAGAAAAATTGTCCCTAATTCATGTACAAATTTGTACATAACTTCACTGAGAATGAAAGAGTCATGATCATGACTAAAATTTTGGGTGAGGAATTCTTTATTACCCAAATTTGGGTCGGTGCTATATAGGGAGCTGATACACCCTTCCTTACCCAAAATTGGGCGAGGAAACATTCCTCGCCCAAATTGGGGTGAGAAAGTAAACCTCGCCCAAAATAGGGTATTGATCATGACTTTTTCATTCTCAGTGTTCAGTAAGTACTAAAACGGCCATAGTCATGGACAATAAAAGCACGTTAACACTTAGTATGAATCAATATTTCTGCGTAGTCCGAATCAAGCGTAATAGGTTCGTCCGCCAAGTTATCTAAATGTATAGGGGAATTTCCCGTCTATGCTTCATTTCAAGCGTAATGTCTTCAAGCGTAGCTTCATGCTTGACTCAAGCATAGCGTAACGCTTTAGTTTTACCAGTGAAGTGCTTAATTAAGAATCAGAAAGTCCACAGGAATTTAGTGTGTGGAGTCAGGGTTGTCACAAGGTTGACAGTTTCTAATTCCATGACTCTTCCCTGACCAGATCCCAGCTTTCCCATGACTTTTCCCCAAAACATTCAATACAGTTTCTAAGAGTAAAATAAACTAATACTGCAATAATTGCATCAGTTTACTTCATGAACAGTTTCACTTTGGGATTTAATATGACAATTCACAATATCTATTTTTCAGAGAGCCAAACAGTTTAAAAAATGAGCGGAAGATAGATATTGGATTTGTCGTAAAATTTTATAACCACAGACTCCTGAAGGATCGTGTTCTTTGGTTCAGACCGTTGCATTTCCAGCTTGTTCCCGAATTGACTTCGTCATTTCTCACCGTAAAACCCTTAGGCCAAATGGCGAGTCCGGACTTTTCATGGAAGTCATAACCGAGTTACCAAATGCGTGCCCCTCTGTAATTCGTGCAAAAGGCGAGTCCCTTTACTGCTCACTAACTGATTTTCCCAAATCCCTCTCCAGCTGCCGCAGCAGGTATTCCCCGGGGACGACCTCGACTTCCTTTTTTCGGGCACATTCGTCCTGGTCGCGAAGCGGGCGGACCCTTTTTCCTTTTTTTCAAGTACGGTCGGCCGTCTGGGTTTGTCGAAGTCAGGGACCTTTTGTCATTTTGGCAAGCAGCTGGACTTCGAGGAGGATTCCGGCGGGGGGAATCCCGAAGAGTAAACGATCATGCTTCCCGGCGTAGTAAATCAAAAGTTCTATAACGCAGCCAAAAATTCATTTTATCAAAATTTTGGACATTCGTCCCATTCAAAATATCATGGTTAAACTTAAGTATTTAAACGAAAATTGACACATTAGAAATGACAAAAGTAAGAAAAAGACGACGCGGGCGATTTTGGGTCAATGTCGTGAAATTCCCTGACCCGATGATCGATGTTCCCTGACTTTTCCCTGATTTCCCTGACTCGATTTCATTTCCATGACTTTTCCACGACTTCCAGGATTTCCCTGACCTGTAACAACCTAGTGGAGGAGCCCTAAGGCCCTATGGCGAGACGGACTGCATGGCAGTCATAACCGAGTACCCACCTGCGTGCAGCTCTCGTCAGCGTGCAGTGGCGAGTCGTCCTGGGCTTGCCGCTCTAGCTCCCGATCCAACTCCCTCTCCAGCTCCCGCAGCAGGCTTCTCGCCGACTCGACTTCCTCTCGGGCACAGCGCTCCTGGTCGCGAAGCGTCGACAGCCTTTCCTCGCCCGCCGCGTCGCCGTCTGGGGTGGGCGGAGTCAGGGCCACCTTCGCCTTCTTGGCCGCAGGTGCAGACGTCGAGGAGGAGGCGGCGGGCGAGTCCTGTGCCAGTCAATCAGATCAGCGGCGCGGGAGGTGATGATGGAACTCTCAGCATGCCTTCCTTACATTCAATCACTAACTTCAAACGAAGTAACTTAACATTTCAGAAAAACATAAGACTGAAATCTCAGATGAGTCGTTAGATGGCAATTGTCACACGGTAAAAACTGTTCCTCGTTTTCCCAGGAACTCCCTGGAAATCACTCATGTCTCTAGCATAGGCTTGCTTCCTGGGAAAACCAGGTACCGTTTTTACCGTGTGACAATAATTGCCATCTAGCGACCCATCTGAGATTCAGTCTCCAGCTCGACTCACTGTAAAAATTTGACTCGTCACTTGATGACAATTTCAAGGCTTATTTCCCTTACACCAATGTCATCAAAAGAATTGATGACATTGTTGTCATGCCCATCCAATAATTATAGGAGCTTTGATGAAAATGTCAACAATTTGTGATGAGACCGTCATCATTTGAAAGTGATGAAAATATCATCCACGATTTTTGTCATAAAGTGACAACGAACTTTAACAGAGCACTCACCCAGCTGCCGTCCTGCTGTGGGGCCGTCGTCTGATTCCGCCGCTTCAGAGTGCGGTCCCTGCTGATCTCGGCCAGCTTCACGCGGACCCGGGCCGCACCGAGAGCCGCCTCCGCGGACTGCACCTTGAGGAGCTCCGTACGCAACAGCACTTCTGCTGCATCTTCTTCGGGGTTGGTGGGCCCCATGGTGGTTTCAGCGACTTGATCTTTCAAGCAGGTCGTCTTTAAAAACAACAACAAGAAAACATCAGTGGCGCCCAAACGGGGTTTACGGTGTAGCGGCCGCTACATCGTAAATCTTAAGGGGAGGGAGGTTTGGGAGGTTAAAGGGAGGTGGGAGGAAAGGGAGAAGAAGAAAAGGAAAAAGGGAGGAGAAGGAGAAGGAAAAGAGAAAGAAAAGGAGAGAAGGAGATGAAAGAGGAAGACGAATACACCCGGGTGGAAAGAAGTTTAGTTTCGACTTAGTCTGGACTGTAGTCGTAGACTGTAGTGCCCAAACTGCAATTCTTATAGCAGTCAAAATAGAGAAAAACCAAAGATTTTATTTATATTTTGGACCGCAGTCTGGAAAGTAGTTAGGAATGCAGTTTGGATGTACTTTCCAAGAAGTTTCGTTTAGACTCCTCACTAGACTTCAAACGATGACTCAATTTTAAGTTTAACTTGCTTCTGTCTGCATTTCCGAAACGTAATTTGGACGGGAAGCTATACAGTAGTTCTCATTTTAGAATTTTATCGGTTTGGCTGCAGTTTTATCTCTACGTTCCAAGCTCAGTCGCAACTGTGCTCTTCTCTGCATTAGTTTTTGCACATATCCAGTATACTTGAAAGGTGCTTTTTCGATTATTGATTGAATTGCAAAAATATTATTCTTAGGTTACAGTTTCGTATTGCGTACAAGATTTGCAGACCCAACGTTAGATGGGAACGTCATTCGACTGCAGTAGTTCTTTGGGGGTTCTTACGGGGTTTCCAATTTTGTCTTGTTTACCCGTGGAAACGAAAACAACCCCGCAGTGAGACAGAAATTAGCTACTCTGTCATTTTTCACCAACCCCTTTTTCGAAAAATTTCTGCCTTACCGGCACACGGTGGACGTCACTTAAAGGATGACAATGGCGAAGAAAAACGATGTGGATAAGGATCGAGTGCAAATAATCTATTGTAAAACTGCAATGAAACTGCAGTTAAACTGCACCATCCGACCGGTGTGCCCCGAGAACAGGCCTTATCATGTGGTCCAGGTCGGATGCAGCAGCTCGCATGCCCGCTTGCCAGCGTAGTGGATAACACACCTGACTCGCAACCCAAAGGACCGACGATCGAGTACCGCCCAAGTCCAACAACTTCAACATCGAAAAACAGTTTCTCTACAGAATGAGAGGCGACGGGGTTCAAAAAAAGCTTCCCAAAAAAGGAAAAAAAATAATTTTTTAATTTTGCGATTGAAATTTGAACACTATACTCGCAACTACCATTATAATTGTCGCATACACTTGCGACCCTACTTTTAATTAGGGTCGAAACTGCAACCGAAACTGCAGTGTTCGAAAATACTACCAGAATATCTGTATTCAAACTGCAGTCAAACTGTAGTTTCACTAAAAAAACTACACTCTAAGTGTAGTTTACTGTAGTTTAACTGCACTGAAACTGCATTGATCCATCTGCAGTCCGACTACCATTGTTTTGCAAACAGTTTAAACTCAGAAAGAATAGATTTACTTCACTTCATCTCGAGACGTTCAATAGTTGTCCTGCAGTCTTAAACTGAGTTAAGTTGCACTTTACAAGTACAGAAAAAATTACAGATCTTTCCACCCGGTCTAAAATCGAGGGGTGAATCACTCAGGGTTCTGGTGTACACATGAGTACATGAGTACGGGTGCTTTACTCATAAATAAATTTCACAATTTAAAACGTTTTAAGGCTTCATTTAGCGTTTTAAACGGCACTCGACGTTAAATCGGTCGAAAAACTAGAGAATTTCACCGTTTTAAAAATTTGTGAGTACAATATGAGTACGGGCAAATTTGTACACATGAGTACACTAGTGATTCACCCCTCGTCTAAAATATCTATGGAGGATGGTGTGGGCAGGGAGGTGTAGGGAATATTATTGGATCGCACCTTCCAACTTGTACGTTTCATTCCTAGCACGGGCTGAACAGAACACGAGAAAAACCACACTGTCTTCAAGTTTGCGATACTTTCAACACAAAATTCTGCGATGAATTGAATTTGCGATTCCAATTATTTATCGTATTCCCAGAGCTGCGATAACATATCATCACAGACCTTTTGCGATAAATCCTTTTCATCTACGCAAACTCAAGAGTGCATGGCACGCACCTAACAACAGCATCCCAGTCCAGCTCGCGCCAAATAGTAGTAATTGCTTGCCAGCAAACACATTCCAAGCTACAAAATTCCTGCAAACACACTCCCAATGCTCGGCAAATACAGACAATGGCTTTTAAGTATTCAAGTTGGTTGCCACAAGTCTGGAAAACCTTGAAAACCTGGAAAAGTCAGTTAATTTGAAAACGGTCAGGGAAGTCAGGGAAAATGAAACGAAGTCAGGGAAAAACGGGAATAAGTGGCACAAACGACCCTAGACACCTATTTCGTTCGATTAACTCATCACTTAATATATCCAACTGCTGGAAAAAGTATTTGAAAAAGTCAGGGAAATACATAAAATATTGGTCTGGAAGTCAGGGAAAAGGCAGGGGAAATGAAAATTTCAAATTTGTGGCAACCCTGAAATAATAAAGAAAGCTATCACTTTCAGTTATAAAAAGAGTAATTGGAAGTTTAAGGGTGAGAATTAGGCCAGTTGGCACCCCTGCAGAACAAATGCAATCGTAGCAGACGGACGACACGGACGTCCATCCACAGTGGTGTTGTAAGTTTGTGACCTGAAACGTTAACTTTATTATTGCTGTGCTGACGATGTTAGGTGGTACTGTATTTCGGCACTTTGTTCTTTAATCACGGCGAGACTGGTTGTGCCCGATAGCGTATAGAACTAACCTGGAACTCGAGTATATTAACAGTGTTCTCTCCATGGAACTTCCAACAGGGCTCACATGCAGCGGGTTAGATAGGAGGCAAAGGAGTAAGAACTTGTGTTTTGATGAAGAATGTTTTGTATAAGTCCATGTGGTTACTCAACACATAACGTTTGACTGCATGGACAGTAAGAGAGACCTTCCTGGTCTGACTCACTTGACCAATATCTTTATGGACGATGGCAAAGAAGTTAATAGTGGGGCAACGCTTTGATGCCGCGCAAACCAAATTCTCACCCTTAAACTTCCAACTATACTTTTTATAACTGAAAGTGATAGCTTTCTTTACAATTTTTAACTTAGCCATGGTCTGTGTTTGCCAAGCATTGGGAGTGTGTTTGCAGGAATTTTGTAGCTTGGGATGTGTTTGATGGGGGGCAATTATTTGAAGATGCTGTTGTTTGGAGCTGCCATGCACTCTGGAGTTTGCAGGATGAAAAGGATTTGTCGCGAAGGATTTGTGAAAATATCATGTCGCAGCTCTGGGAATGCGATAAGTAATTAGAATCGCAAACTCAATTCATCGCAGAATTTTGAGTTAAAAGTTTCGTGAACTTGGAGACAGTGTACATTAGTTGTGAGAGTTAACTTTTAGCTGTGACTCGCCTAAACCTGATGCTCACAATTCCTAACTGCTGAAAACTGAAGTTTTGAACAATGCAGAGATGCAATTGGATGCAATAATCCGAACCGGGTGTAAAACTATGTATCCCATTGTCGTTGTCGTTTTTCAACCATTGGGACTTTTCTGCGAACCTTAAAGCGGAGACTAAAGGAATAAGTAATTGCACAAATTTCATTTTCCGTCGCCTGCGGAGCGGGTGCAGATGAAGGAAGATGGCTGCCGATTGAAACCCTACTGTAGGCTAGAAGACGAAAGTTGTGCCCTTTCTTTGTTTACAGGAATTTCCGAGTCCATACAGGCTAAAATATCATGTGTCCCAGATGAAACATTGCGACCACTCGTGCACAATCGTATCAGTTCTGACTAGAACCGTCAGAACCGTGAGAGGTTGTGAGCCGCTACGCTAGATGTTACGCAAAACGTGGGCAGCAGACCGCACTGTTGGTAGTGATCACCCTTGCATTTAAATTAATTTCTCATCTCGCAGGTCTAACTCACATCTTGAATCGGACTCAAGGTAGTTACGATACAGCCTGTACCTCTACAGCTTCGATGTGAAGATTCCACAGACGTAGCCTGCCGAGGAACGGGTCCACCAACAACGTCCACTCTATCCTCTCCCTGGCATATGGGTCCTGGCCCCAAAGGAAACTATGAGCAGGATAGTCGTCCTTCTAAAGCGCTGTATAAAGACTATGTTCCGCCTCTCGCCCAGACACCCCTCCAAACTTCTATATGGACAATCAAAGATTACACAGCAGTTGGGTATATTAAGAGATGAGTTTATCGAACGAAATAGGTGTCTTGGGTCGTTTGTGCCACTTATTTCCGTTTTACCCTGACTTCATTTCATTTTCCCTGACTTCCCTGACCATTTTCAAATTAACTGACTTTTCCAGGTTTTCAAGGTTTTCCAGACTTGTGGCAACCCTGCACCTGTGCCAGACTAAGACCCTCAGTACAGTAATTATCATAAATAACTCGATGCATCGGTACTGCCAGGTACTGCTGCTTAAGATCTACTGACAAAATTCATATGCAATCTGTAAAGTCTACTAAATATGATATAAGAAGTATTCTATATCAAGGTTCAAAAATTTATCATGAACTTCCTCAAAATTTGAAGGATGCAACTAGGAACTTCACAAAGAAGATAAAAGATCACTTCTCCCTATAACCTGCTCCTGTTAACTATCTGTTAACTCCTCTGTATGGTTCTGTATTTAAAAAAAAAAACTAGCCTTGCATTTTGAACACCCCATGGTCACATCGCCCTGCTATGTAAAAGAAACTCTTTGATGTCTGTACAGGGCTTGCCCTCGAACCTGTGTATTTATTATTAAATAAATAAAAACCGAAGTCACCCCCTATAGCCGCCTCTTCCAAGACCTGCGGTAAGGTAAGTAAACCTCAACAGAACTTCCGACTTCGACTCCAAAGATATGCTTGTTACGGTAGTTTTAATAGTCTTCGCGTGTCTTCGGGGATTCGTGCGGGTCTTGACGGTAGACGTTCCGCGTTTCTCACCCTCCCAACTGGAATTTGTGGGTGATTTAGGGAATAGGGTACTTTCGTGGATCCCTGAACCGGAAGCACACAGACGCCATGTTGGCGGAAGTAGATCCAAACCTGACATGGGAAATAGACGTTAGTAAAACGTATCGCCCCAGTAAGTAAAACTTTAATACTTGTTTGCAGTGCATATGTTTTGCGAGCAATATTTTAAAGCTCGGCTATGTTTTAGATCCGAAGAGAGGTTAGATTCCGGCCAATTTGGCGTCTGCTGGTCTGCTTTCTTCCGGTTTCAGGATCTACGAAAGTACCCTATTCTGCCCGAACCCGAATGCAGTTAGTGGCAACTCGGAACTAAGGATCGCCATTAATTGCGTTACGCAGTTCTGGTCACTTTGGACCTATCCCCTCAAGCGTCACGCAATTTTGGTTACTTTTTACACCCATCTCCCAGTGTTACGCAGTTTTGGTCGCTTTGGGACCCATCCCCCACTCAGTGTTGGTCACTTTTTGGCCCATCCCTTTAGCGTTACGCAGTTTTCGTCGCTTTTGGACCCATCCCCCAAGGGTCACGCGGCTTTGATCACATTTTGAGCCGTCCCACTGTTACGCAGGCCCGGACCCCCGAATCCTAACCTCCTCACTCAGCCTGCACGCTCTCAGCGTAGCCGCGGACCGGAAGTTTGATGCTGGAAAGGGCATCCTAGTTCGCTGGTAAGTATATAGCGTTCAACGATATAAGATTAATAATCTGCTGATCCTGACTGAGGGTCTATAGCGTTTAACGTTGTAAGAATAATAGCCTTAGGCAGTCTAGAAATCCCCCAAGGGGATTAGGCGGAACCTTGGCGGATGAGCTTCAAACGATTAACTTCAAGCCTCAACCGATTTCGCTCTGAAATAGAGCGTAATCTAATGTTCCTAATAGGGTACTTTCGTAGATCCTGAACCGGAAGCAAGCAGACCAGAAGACGCCAAATTGGCCGGAAACTAACCTCCCTTCGGATCTAAAACTATAGCCGAGCTGTGCAAATATTGCTCGCGAAACACACATGCACTGTAAACAAGTATCAAACGACTGTTTATGTTCAAGTGTGGCCGATACGTTTGACTAACGTCTCTTTCCCATGTCAAGTTTGGATCTACTTCCGCCAACATGGCGTCTGTGTGCTTCCGGTTCAGGGATCTACGAAAGTACCCTATTGGGTGGGCGGTCTAAACCCGATGACTCCACAGCGACTCTAGAACTCGGCCGGTGAATGCAGTGCCGCCCGCAGACACTGCCGACGGGCTAGCTTAGGCCCTTCGCTAGCCTGGGGTCTGTTCTGTTAAGTTAATCCATGCGCATGGATGCTTGCATGCATGCATGGGTTGCGGATCGCCACGGAATTCATGTAGAAAGATGTTGTTTTTATCCAACCCCTGCTGACAGTGTCTGTTGGCGGCCGGGTAGGTTGCAAGGCACTGACGACGCACGCCGACGTCCGGTAGAGCGCACGCGTGCCGCAGACGACCGAATCAGCGCATTCATCCCTGGAAGTCAGTCGGGCGAGTTTCGTGTGCGTTCACATCAAAAAGAGAGTACGCGGTTGGAAATTTCACTCTGTTAACCTCGAATATTATTTTAGATCTGACAATCAAAGCTAGCTTGTTGCAACAAAGTATTTTGAGGAGTCGTGCACAGTAAAAACTCGCTTCGTAATACGAAGAAACTGAAGGCAATTTAAAATCTACGAAGAAATGCTTCGTGTTACGAAGCAAAATCCTGCGTAATACGGAGCCTTTTTTTACAATACGAGACAGTTCTACTATGTCTTCGTTTTCTTCGTAGTTATGAAGCAAATGTTTCGTAGGCTTTTAAGAGTGTAGATATAGGGGTGGGGCGAATGGGCTTTTGCCTGCCCCTCCCACAAGCGCCTAGCTGCCTGAAAGGTAGTCTGAAGGACATACGACATGCACTCAAAAAGTCTTATGTAGAAAACAAACACCATTTCTTTATAATATGAAGAATCTTGTGCTAACACATTATATGACGCCATGTAATGTGAAGCTTTTTTAGGCACGAAGTAGCCTTATAGTATACCCAGGACTCAGCCGGCTCGAGATTTGATTTGTGTGGCCCTTTATGCATTTCGGAAGTTTTCTATACGATTTTAATGAGATTTTGCAGACTAGTAGAACTTTGAACGCTGATTCTGATGTTGAAATCTGGTCAAAAATTTGGGGGCCAAATTTTTGAGAAATTTGCGGGAAAAATCGCCGTTTCCATGGCAAAACTCGACTCGTAAAAGGAAAAAAAAAGGGAAAGTGGGGGAGCCGAGCCGGGGCGGACCAAAAAGCGGAGCTTTTTTTTGGGGTCTGTACAGCTTACTCCAAAAGCTGAAAAGCAACGTTCGAAATAAAAAATTTCTTTGACTGCAGGTAGACAAGATGAAACCAATAAAATTGGTGCCGGTTCGAACGCAGTTTTTCGGGTAGAACTTCCAAAAATCCTTCTTGATTGGAGTTTTTTTTTGGACTTTGCGCAGTGTTGTTGTTGTGATTCAGTTAGCACTAGGACCACTTCGCTCCACCTCGCGACTTGCAGTGCTCATGTTCCTCGAACAAGACTCACCCGCGTTTCGAAACCATCCCTCCCGAGTTTTTTGAAGTTTTTCAAACCAACCGTCGTGGGGTTGATAAAAGTTGTAAGGGGGAACTATTACACAGAATTGAAAAAAAAATGACTAGAGAACCATAGCCTTTTGAAACAAGCCAAACAATTCAACGTCCACAACAATGGGGGGGCAGTTTTTAAAAGCGCGACTGCTGGCGCTTTCAGCTTCGCGATTTTTGCAAGGGCGGAGACGGGCCCAGAAAATATTTTCCAACCCGAGAAATTAATTTTTCTGACTTCTTTCTGTAAAACTTTTAATCAGAGGACTTCAAAGATGTTCCATTGTCAGAACACTGCGGAATACTTAGCCTTTGGGAAATTTTTTAATTTACCACATTTTTATTTCTATTTATTTTCAAATTTAAATTTCGAGGATGGCACATCGACCACATTGGTACCACTGCCATTGGGAGTCCCCTGAGCCACAACCTTTTCTTTCCCACCTCTTAACAATAATCAAATTGACTTCGTGACTCCTAGGATTTCTTGAAATCGTATTTTTCTTTGTACCTTTCAAAGAAAAGCCCCAAAAGATTCGTAGCATAACCATATTTAGTTCGTTTTGTGTTCGCTTTCGTTCACTAACGCCAAATTCACTGTAAAAAAATTTGTGTGTGCTTTACCATTCCCGAGCGTGGAAATGAAATGCGACTGTTGGTTTGCAGCTCCGGGACTTCCAGTGTCTACGGCGTGCGTGCTCGTTCCCGGTGCTCCACGTGGCCAGCGTCGCAGTTCTTGGTCCCGCCATGGACGAATCGGTGAGTTAACGAATAATAGTTGGTCCACTGTGGCAAAAAGCTACGGAAAATTCTGTAAACAGCTTGTGGTAATTCTCTGTAGCCCCCTTGTCAGTATTCTCCGTAGGCTCTTACAGTATTTTCCGTAGGACCGTACAGTATTCTCCGTAGGACCTTCACAGTGATCTCCGTAGGACTATACAGTCTTCCAGGTCCTACGGAGAAGACTGCGGCCCTACGGAGAATACTGTACGGCCCTACGGAGAATACTGTAAGAGCCTACGGAGAATATTGATAAGAGGGCTACGGAGAATACTGTCAAAAAAATTAACAGAATTTTCCGTACTTTTTTGCCACAGTGAATTCAGAAGCGGAAGAAGACAATAATAAGACATATCTCCTAATTGAGGTTTTATTTTTTGAGAGTGCCTTGGGATGTTTAGTATCATTACACCAAAATATTTGACTCAATTCCAAGCAGTTCGGAAGAAAGTCCACCTGAGAAATGGTACTTAACTTGACCCCATCGGAAGAAACACAACCCAAGTCTTCACTGAGATTCCAAACGCTATGAGTATAGCACGTATGGTGCAATGCGCTGTGATATCGTACCATACGTGCAATGCCTCAGCCATATTGCACCTTTGGTGCAATGCTTCCCGAAAAGGCCCTGTGCTAATGCATGGGAATTGCGAGGCATTGCACTTCATGTGCAATGCTTTTGTATTGCACCAATTGACGCTATACTCATAGCGTTTGGATTCTCAGTGTTCCCCGCGCAGGTTCGCGCGGGGCATACTATAGTCAAGCGAGAGTTGAAATTTAAAAATTTTGTGTCCAGACCTTAAAAAATTTATATAAAGGTCCCATTCTATTTTCAACTTAGAATCAGATTCGTTGGGGCCATCTAGGCAGCGGCAATGCGAAGAAATGAATTTTAACTCCCAATTTAGTTGTGCACCTGACTCCAGTGTCGGCTGCTAAAACCGCAATTTTATGTCTTTTCTCACTAATAAGTCCGGTGACGCGCTATTTTCTCTCTTTCATTTCGTAAAGTGACTGAAAATACGATAAATGTATGCCTTTTATCGGTTTGACTTTACTCCTGGCATTTCATACACGAAATATACCGGGTTCGGATGGGCAACATAACCCTAGTCCCATAAGCGGCAATGCTATTCTCGGGTATTTTAATCGCGTATTAACACTGATTTTGCCCGGTGACAGGGTTTGAAACTTAACATTAAGTCACTATCTCAGGAGTCTACTGTCAAATTTTCAACTCTTTATAATAGCGTGGTCGCTTGAACTACCTTAAGCGTGAAAATGCATAAATTCATGCAAAACGGCACGCAGGTTTAAAATCGTGCATCACGACGCACAAAATTTTACATAAACATTTAGTGTGCATCAAGTCCCCCCCCCCCCTTTTTGCGCTTCCTGGATCATAGTACCCTACTCACACGAGACCATGACATCTCTGCACGGTCAAAACGAAACCTGGGATTCCCAGGAGCCCTATGTGATAAGGTATAGGAGTTTCCAGGAGATTCCTGGGATTCCCAGGAAGTTTTTTTACCGTGTGCGTCCCAACTGAATTCAATGTTGGTTGTGCCGCAGCTCCTCCTGTCGCTGTCGGACGACGTGCTCCTGGCCGTGCTGTCCTACCTGAGGCCCGAACAGCTGTTGCGCTGCCGCATGGTGTGCCGTCGGCTCCGGGAGCTGTGCCTGCACCAGGACCTGTGGCGGAAAGTCAATCTGTTGGACCGGGACAGGAATGTTCTGCATGCTGCACTCGGTGTCGCGCCGTGTCTTTGCTCGTTGCAGTGCGGTGTTCGTACGCCCATCGCCACCCTGGGCTTCCTTGTGGTGCGCACCCTATGCGTTGTCACGAAGCTTGTGTTGACTGTTAAGAGCGCTACCGAGGCTGCTTCAGCCACGGCAGTTATTTACAAGCTCAGTGCCCTCGGCGGTTTGAGAAAGCTGGAACTGGACATACAATACGACCATGCAGAGTGCCGCATGGCAACGATGACCCTGATGATGGCAGCGTACAGCATCCAGGGTCTAAAGGAATTCAATATCACCAACTCTGGGTTAAAGCCACTGCCAGCTTTAACAGGAGACCTGGACGTGAGGTTCTCCTTAACTCGGCTTGTCTACTTTGCACGTGATGCAGACTCCTTCCTGCTGCTACTGCTTAAGACTCACGCCGCAACTCTTCAGACCGTGCAACTTGAATTTTTGACTGACGTCCCTGTGTCATCATTGGCAAAGCTTCATGAGTTGCGCTATTTGTCATGCTACCCCAGTGGGGACTTGTGGCAGCTGGCATCTTTACCAAAGCTCGAGTCGTTCGCACCGTCGTGGACACCCGGCAGCCTTGCCCCATCGGGCGCATTGTACTTTCTTTCTCAGGCGCCACATCTGCGAACCTTGGTGATCCGTCCCACCTGCACGAACCCCGAAGCTCTCCTTCGGTCTGTGGTTGGGTCACGCTCTGCTCAGTTTCTCCGAAAGATTGACTTCTCCGCTTCATCGAATGTCTGGGACCTCTGCGTGGCACCCGCCCTGTCCAACTTCCACTCCCTCAAGTCCCTGGACATGGGCTGCGAGCCTTCAGACTTGTTCTTGCGGGCTGTTAGCCCTGCATCGGTGCCCTGCCTCACGTCCTTGTTTGTGGCCTTCAGCAAAGGTTCCTGCCTCCACGCTTGGTTCCACCGCCCCGCCATTCAGGACGTTCTCGTGAGGAACCCTCAACTGCACCTTCGACGCAGCATATACCTCACCTCTGAGAACCGGTACTATGGGTACTCCTCGTACTGTGCCGCTGAAGACGGCAGCTGTATGTGGTGCCACTGGGGTTGCCACGGATCGCTGAGGAAAGTATCTTGGAATAAAATGGCCGCCTCAGCCCACGTCAGGAGAGCTACCTGCCCTGTTGCTGTTGACTGCGTGAAAGTGGCCGGATCAGCTTGCCCGTCCTGCGGCCACCAAAGTTGTCCCACCATCTGAGGACCGAATGGTTTTCAAAATGCGTGCAGTTTAACCGGGCATTGCATCCCATAAATGTTGGTTTATCTTATACCCGTCTGTTACATATGCAGCACCGTCCCTCGCAACGTTGCAACGAACTCTAAATTTGTTCTGATTGTAATGTACGGTAATAAGATTAAACTATATAAGTATGCCCAATGTTCCTAGAGGGAAATTGTCATTTAAATGTGTCTACATCGAACGTTCCTTGTCGTCCTGTGTGTTGCGCCTTAATTTAAGGACCTCGATTCAAAACTATGTGCTGAAGTAAATTAAAACCCATACCTTGTTCTACTCATGCCGCCTTTTATTTTTGTCATGTAACATTACAGATTGAAGTTAAATATGAACAACGTTGCGCGTCAGCACGTTACTGACTTTTTGCTCATCTTGTCAGTACTTATGCAAGTAATTTGTGCAACCATAATACGTACTTTTTCTTTACTTAAATAACCATTTAGGAAATACTAAATAATGTACTGATAAATTGGTTTTTTTTACATAATTTTACAAAGGAATTTAGTCACATTTACCTAGACAGTACTAAGTATTATTGTTGCTTATGCGAATACGTAATTAATGAGAAAAAAGTCAGTAACGCGCTGAGAGTGTAAATCATACATTAAGGGTGTGGATTGGAACCACGACAACGAAAAGACGAAGTTGTGAAATTCGTATTACCGTGGCCCCAGATGCTGCGTTTCCACCCACAGGAGCTTTATAAGGTGGCTCTGTACATTGGGCAGTGGCGCCCAAACGACGTTTACAAAGTAGCGGCCGCTACACCGTTAACCTTAAAGGGAGGGAGGTTGGGGAGGTGGGAGGAAAGGGAGAAGGAAAAGAGAAGGAGGGGGAAGAGGAAGACAAATACATCTAAAATATCCATGGAGGATGGTGTGGGCAGGGAGGTGTAGGGAATATTATTGGATCGCACCCACCAACTTGTACGTTCCATTTCCAGCACGGGCTGAACAGAATACGAAAAAACCTATCCCTAAACTAGCCAAGCTAGCGACCTGCATACCCGCGCATAAATGGCAGCTAGCATCATTGATAGTTCAAGCTTTTAGCTCTACGCTCGCAATCTCGTCTTATTTTAATGTTACATAGGAAGTATTATTGCTGTTAACGTGCTGAGAGTGCATGTTTATGTGAATTGTTTCACATACATGTATAGAAATTTGACTACAAATTATTTTTGTACAGTGGAGTCGCTACATGGCACCAAGCCATCAGAGCAGCACCGTTCACCCCAATGAGTTGCATCAGGATTTATAAATTAAAGCGTTTACTGCTTCGCTTGTTGAGCTTAAGTTTTCCAAGTTGAAAAATTTATTAGAGCCCGATTGCACAGGTTTCGACATGTCAGAGGAACGTAGTCGGCGGCGTCGTCTGCTCTTCGCTTTGCACGGTACCAGGACACTGAGATTCCAAACGCTACGAGTATAGCAGGGTACAATTCAGCTGAGATATCGCACCATACGTGCAATGCCATAGCTGCATTGCACCTTACGTGCCATGCGTCTCGAAAATGCCCTAAGCTAATGCATGGGAATGGGGAGGCATTGCACTTGCCTTTGCATTGCACCAATTGACGCTATACACGCTCAGACCAATGGGACTTTTTTCTCTCTTGCTAATAGCGGTTTTTGAGCAAACGTAAAATGTACTTAACTATGCACAATTTTGATCGTTTCAGGGATATAATTGTCAATAGGTCATGTAGAAATTGAAAAGTACATTCACTGTCAGAAAATTCCGAAAAAAAATGGAAAAATCATGGAGTTTTTCCTAAACTCCTGCATGGAGCTCTCCATCAATGCAAATTCTGGGCTTTCTCCGAAAAATTTCGGAATTTTGAACAAAAATGCATGCTTCACTATCACAAAAACACGAAAAAAAGGTTTGCAACCAGTTAAAAATTGAGGGAAAGGTGAACCCCTACTTCTTGAGCTCAGTTTTCATAATATTAAGGGAAAGCTACAGGATATAAGTCAAATGAGCTCGAATGAGATTGTCCCTTCTTTGACCATTTCAGACCAGAAAATGCTTCAGCGAAGTCCTCTGTAATATATCTGAGAAAAGACTTGCAGTTTACCTCCCATCTGGACCCAAGGAATGCTCCGAAGAACATCTGTATAAGCCCTGAGAAAATCTCTCCGAAAAAAAATGGAAAATGAATGGAGTCTCCATGAACGTGATTATAGGGTTTTTCTCCATAAAATTTCGGAGCTAATTTCTAACAGTGTTGCAAATGACATTCAGTCCGGTTTAATGAACTATAAACATTTTACAATGAACAAAATAGTGCATAGCCAAAGAGAAAATAGTACTTATTACGTTTCCACAAAAACCTTTATGGCAAGAGATAAAAGGTCAATTCGAGTCTGAGAGTGTAAAATGTACTATTTTCTCTTTGTTATTCAGAGTGGACAAAGGGACAGTAACCAGAGGGCGAGGTCGCTCAAGGCAGGCGAATACACCGTGCAAAAATACATCAGCATTGTGTTCTTTTGACACACATTTGAGGCCTTCACGACATTTTTTGACTCAACTTCCAGGTTTTTGCGGAGAAAACCCCTGCTATCTCCGTAGAAAAGAAACGGACAGTCTCCGTCAGATTTTTACGGAGTGGCCCTCACGGTTTAGGGATAACCTCGCAGTCGACTAGAATGCAGAAGCGCGTGACGGGGCTGTCGCGAGCGGTGCGCGAGCGAATGCGCAACCGGTAACGCCCATACGGCATGACTGGGAAGTTGGGGAACGTCCAGTTCACTGGCTCATTCTTCAGGATGTAATGCCCCTGAAAACAGAAGCAAAACTTTGGGTTGAGCTCAAGAGGGAAAAAATACGATTTCAAGAAATCCTAGGAGTCACGAAGTCAATTTGATTTTTGGTGTAAGAGTGTGGAGAAAGAAAAGAAGTGGTGTTGTGAAGTTGTGGCTCAGGGGACTACCAATAGCAGTGGTACCAATGTGGTCGATGTGCCACCCGTCGAAATTTAAACTTGACAATAAATACTAGAAATCAAAATGCTGATAAATTCAAAAAATTCCAATGCTAATGTATTCCGCAGTGTTCTGACAATGGAACATCTTTAAAGTCCATCATTATTAAAATGTTCTTAGCAGAAAGAAGGCAGTAAATTATTTTTTACGGGTTGGCAACTAGTTTCTCGGCGTCTGCGCCCTTGCGAAAATCGCGAAGCTGAAAGCACCAGCAGTCGCGCATTAAAACTGCCCCTCCATTGTTGCTGACGTTGAATTGTTTGGCTTGTTTCAAAAGGCTATGGTTCTCTAGTCATGTTTTCTTCAATTCTGTGTAATAGTTCTCCCTCACAACGTATCAACACCACGACGGTTGGTTTGACAAACTTCATAAACTCGGCAGGGATGATTTCGAAACGCGGGTGAGTCTTGTTCGAGGAACATGAGCACTGCAAGTCGCGAGTTGGAGCGAAGTGATCCTAGAGCTAACTGAATCACAACAACAACAAAATTGTTTTATTGACAGAAAACAAGCTAGGGCCCGCCCTTCCGTCGAACCGAGTTGCCAGCTCCGCTTCGCTGCGCCGGCAACTCGGTTCGACAGGGGGCTGGCCCAGCTTGGCCTGCCGGCGGCCTTTTCTCGGGCCTTCGGCCCTCGCGTCAGACCCAACTTGGCCAGTCGAAGGCCCGGGCCTTCGGCCCGCTCGCATCACACACACACACACACACACACCGTGAGCGGGTAAAGCAAAGTTATCGATGTACCATCGTGACTTAGGCCCGCCCTTCTATTCACAATATGCAATAGTCCTTACACTTTTTACTCCAACTGTCCTTAGAATATGCCCATTTCATTTGTCTCTTCGCCCTCATTCCGAAAATACCCATATTTGCCATGCTACTGCAACTCCTTGCAATAGAGGCACAGCAGGAGCGCAAAACGAGTCCGTCGCACTTTTTCCCATAACTCATGAAGGCGGGCTCCTGGACCCCCCTTCCGACCCCTCGTTGAAGAGGTCTTGCCCAGACCTATCCAAAACTTAAGTAAAAATTTTCAGTCGGTCGACCCCCCTTTTTACAAGATCCTGATGTGACTAATAGACGAAGTCGGGCTCCTGGGCCCCCTTTCCGACCCCTCGTTGAAAAGGTCTTGCTGAGACCGAGGGGGTAACCACTCGCGTAATACCCTGTACACAAAAACCATGTATTACGCGTAATACACGTGATCGTAATACCATTTTTGGGTCAAATGTGCCAAATTTTGGCATTTTAGGGCCGTAAGACACGTGTAATACACCCGTAATACAGCGTAATACCGAGTAGTCTGTACACGATTCCGTGAAGTGTTTACCCCCTCGGCTGAGACCAATCGAAATCTGCAATAAAATTTTTTAAGTCGGTCGACCCCCTTTTTTGAAGATCCTGATCTGGCCAACTTGTAAAAGCGGCCGATGGGGTCGGGACCAGGTCCATTCATCTTGTCTCGTCGCCCCGATTCCAAAAATACCCCTATGTGCCCTGCTAGCACCATTCATGGCGGAAATCTCCCTCCCGCTCATGTAAACCATGATGCACCTGCAGCAGCCCTTGTGCGACCCGGATGGGATTTGCACCACCGGATTATTTGTTTGGACGGTACTCCTGAAGTACCCTCCAAATCTGGTTACTCTAGCTCAACTCCTTCCTTGTACACAGACGCCAACAACAACAACAATAACACACAGACACAAAGGCAAATGCATAGGCCCTCCCCCTATTTTTTGAATAGAAGGGCGGGCCAAAAAGTAATATTTAAAAAACTTTGTCAGAAAAAAAAAACTTTTGTTTTGCTAATTTTTTGTGAATATTTTTTTAGAAAGTTATCACATAAAAATTGAAAATTTGTTTTAATATTAATTTTCATAAACAGGAAACAAAGAAAAAACAAGAGAGCAAAATTAATACAGATTTCAAATGCTACAGTTGGTTTAACTGTTAAACAGGTTGCAAACCTACTGCGCATGTCCAAACACACTCCGATCAAGAAGTATTATTGGATAGTTCCAGGGGGTGGCAACAGCCTAGTGCGCGCGTGAAGCTATGCGCGCCGCTCGGGCCGGCAAGGAGCGGCCGGGCGGCTGGGCCGCGCGACCGAACCAAATTAAACAGAACTTTGTCAAAACTGCATCGAACTGAGTAAACGAGGTCATTTTTAGATTCTACGCAAAATTTCCTATCCGTGAGTGACAATGGAATGGACTTTTGGATATGTGAAACAGTTCTAAAATCAATTTGAAAACCAAATTTACGGCACCAGACAGCCGACTTGAAGTTTCCCTTTCACTAAAAAAGCTATTTCCGTTCGTTTTAGGTCCATACATACAGCGAGCCGATTGTTGGCCACTATTTTCCGGGTTGCGTGGTACACTTGGAACGCCAATACGACTTCTGTAGCAGAAATGCCGATCCAAAAACTAATTTCCATTTTTGGTCCAAAATTGTATTTTGCAACTTTGGAGGTTAAAAGCACAGTTTGAAATAGGTTTCTCAGCATTGTCAACCTCACTAAGCAACCCAGAATTCAATTCTCTATCGCCCTGCTGTGTTGGATTTGCAAAAGGAGGTCAAACTTCTAATTGAAACGAAAAGGCCCGAAGCGCTGCAAAACCGCCAAAACAGTTCAAGTATTTTGTGGAGCTTAATGTGTGAAAACTATTTCTCAGATTGTAAATCCAACCACACCACCTTGTAGGCCAGTCAATTCTACAGCTCCATTGTAAGTTTCATCGCAATCGGAGACCAAGATTAAAGACAGCTATAATAATTGTAAATCCCATCAGTTTGGTTGATTGGTCGAGCGGGCGCAAGTATGAGAAATCGCTGCGGCAGATTTTTGCAGCTAACTTTAAAATATATTCTGCCGCCTTCACTTTTGGTCTCCGATTGCGATGAAACTTACAATGGAGCTGTAGAATTGACTGGCCTACAAGGCGGTGTGGTTGGATTTACAATCTGAGAAATAGTTTTCACACATTAAGCTCCACAAAATACTTGAACTGTTTTGGCGGTTTTGCAGCGCTTCGGGCCTTTTCGTTTCAATTAGAAGTTTGACCTCCTTTTGCAAATCCAACACAGCAGGGCGATAGAGAATTGAATTCTGGGTTGCTTAGTGAGCACTGTGAAAACCTTACAAACTATTTTGGGCCTTACAAAGAAAAGTAGTTTGTATAACAAAGTATTTTGAGCATACGTAAGCTTACAAAGAAAATACTTCGTAATTTACGAACTATTTCTTCGTATAACAAAGTGTTTTAGTTTGTTATATGTATGCTCAAAATACTTCGTAAGGTTTTAAGAGTGAGGTTGACAATGCTGAGAAACCTATTTCAAACTGTGCTTTTAACCTCCAAAGTTGCAAAATACAATTTTGGACCAAAAATGGAAATTAGTTTTTGGATCGGCATTTCTGCTACAGAAGTCGTATTGGCGTTCCAAGTGTACCACGCAACCCGGAAAATAGTGGCCAACAATCGGCTCGCTGTATGTATGGACCTAAAACGAACGGAAATAGCTTTTTTAGTGAAAGGGAAACTTCAAGTCGGCTGTCTGGTGCCGTAAATTTGGTTTTCAAATTGATTTTAGAACTGTTTCACATATCCAAAAGTCCATTCCATTGTCACTCACGGATAGGAAATTTTGCGTAAAATCTAAAAATGGCCTCGTTTACTCAGTTCGATGCAATTTTGACAAAGTTCTGTTTAATTTGGTTCGGCCGCGCGGCCCAGCCGCCCGGCCGCTCCTTGCCGGCCCGAGCGGCGCGCATAGCTTCACGCGCGCACTAGGCTGTTGCCACCCCCTGATAGTTCTACCCGAAAAACTGCGTTCGAACCGACACCAATTCTATTGTTGCATCTTGTCTACCTGCAGTCAAAGAAATTTTTCATTTCGAACGTGCTATTTCAGCTTTTGGAGTAAGCTGTACAGACCCAAAAAGAAGCTCGGCTATTGGTCCGCCCCGGCTCGGCTCCCCCCACTCCCTTTTTTTTCCTTTGACGAGTCGAGTTTTGCCATGGAAACGGCGAATTTGACAGCAAATTTCTCAAAATTGGCCGTTAACTTTTTAACCAGATTTCAGCATGAGAATCAGCGTTCAAAGTTCAACAAGTCTGCAAAATCTCATGAAAATCGTATAGAAAATTTCCGAAATGCATAAAGGGCCACACAAATTGAATCTCGGGCCGGCTGAATCCTGGGTATACTATAAGGCTACTTCGTGCCTAAAAATCACAGTGGCCTTTTTTTAAAATGCATACTTATGCAGGCACAGGTACGTAACGTACGTAAGATGCACTGTGAGAAAGAAGTGTGGAAAAAGTACGAAACATGTCTGGTCAATTATTTGCCTGGACCGTCCCTACTTGCCAACTAAGGAACGTTCCGTACTTTTTTCCGTACCCATTTACATGGGTTCATATGGAGCAAGTACGGAACGTTCCGTACTTTTCTCCGTACAGTGCTCCCTCCCTCCAACCTGAGGATTCGGGGGACAAGTCCAGGTTGGAGAGAACAGAAGAAACAGTTGAACACGTGTTGCAAGGGACGGCGAGGGTCGAGCTCGCGCACCGAGAGGCCAATAAAAGCGATCGCGTTGAGGCCCGATGCCGACCACGCCTTCTGCCGGGCTCGCCGTGCTACCTGCTTCCCATTGTGGAGGCACCTTTCGGTCCATACGATGGTCCGACGTTTTGGCGACCGTCCGGGTTTATGGCTGCACTCGTCAGACCCCTGTCAGACGGCGAGCTCGCCGAGGGTCGAGGGTACACAGCGAAAATAAAAATATCAGGCTGGAGGGAGGCAGCTTACAAGGAGGGAGCACTGTACCTCCGTACTATATTTTTCTGTACCATTTCCGTACAAAAGTACGGAATTTTTTACAGTGTGTGTATAATATGCACGCCTGCGCATCTTCATACACACACTAAATTCTTATGGACTTTTTTAATGCATAATGAAGCATTTTTTATGCATAGTTATGCATGCTTAGAAACGTCCATAGGGTATGTATAAAATTATGCATCACTGTGTACATTTTATGCATCTTCCTGCATAAAAGGTACACAGTGATGCATAATTTTATACATACCTTATGGACGTTCCTAAGCATGCATAACTATGCATAAAAAGTCCATAAGAATTTAGTGTGCATATTTTATATCCAGTGATGATATACACAAAAAGTCCATAAGAATTTAGTGTGCATATTTTATATCCAGTGATGATATACACTGCGATGCATAATATTATACACACGTTCCACTCTCAGCCGTTAACTGACTGTTTCTCATTTGGCGCACGCATTTCTGCAAGCAACCACAATACTTAGTATTTCGTTCTTTTTGCGTAACACGCATTTCGAGGGGTCCTATTCAAAAAATCTTATCTGCGCGTTCCCCCCAAGACAATCTTATCTTAAACGCAGGCGAATTTCACTCAGTTTGATCATTTAATACAGCTACAAATCAATACCATTTGTGATAAAATTCACTGAAATGTGGAGATGACAGATCAAAGAAACCAAAAGTACATGTGAAAATATATTCCGCTTACTCTCGTACGTGTCCCAACTGGTCAAACTGGGTGAAATCCGCATGCGTTTAAGATAAGATTGTCTTGGGGGGAACGCGCAAGATCTTTTGAATAGGACCCCTCGATTTGGGGTGATTCGTAACAGTCTCGTGTGAAAAAAAACTATAAAAAAATAGGTAGTTTATGTTATTAAATGCTTGAATTATTTCTCACATCATCTGGTGCTCTATTTCAATACATTAACACAGCACAAAATGCCTCTTAAAGCGAGTTACTCCAATCTATCCTCCGAAATTTAAAAAGGGAGGTTAGGGAGGTAATTACCTACATTTTGGCGCAAACAGGGTTGAGATATCTTCATGTTTGCGGACTGAGGGACTTCCACCTGTTCGATTTTGGAGGAAAATTTGATTGGAAGCTGCTCTGCTTCCTGACGTCCGATCGACGCCATTCTGGGCTTAAAATGCTTCTATTTGTAAGGTCTTGGCACATGAAAACTTTAAGCAATGAACAACAACGCGTATGGAAGAAATCGCACAAGTCAGTTTTGGACCATTTTCAGTGTATTCCCCCTCAATTATTTCTTTGAAATTTACTTCGAAAGCAGAATTATTCGGAATTATTAGTACAGTGATTATCAATTGCTGAGTAATGCTGACAAATAATTTAACTATTATGGTTTCTTACAGAGATACGTCTGCTAATGAGAAATAATAAAAGGTTTAGAGTGATCACGCATACTGTCCTAAGCCTACTGCAAATTGAACAATTTGTCCATTCTTAACGTACTTAATGTACTCAAAATTGCATCAGCCATGGGACATCAAACGAAGTCCCATCATATTTGATCCAGGAAGAAGAGAATAATACGACTTATCTCCAAAATTGAGTTTTAATTTTTGAGCCTAATCAGGATTGTTTGCTGCATTTCACCAAATCAATCAACCCAATCCCTATCAGAGGAGAAAATCCACTTGCAAAATGTATATAACTTAACTTGACCCCTTACGTTCTGAATTTCATCGGATGGAGGTAACTCAACTTGCGTCATTATGAATCTTATGTAAGAAGAATCAACTCAACCCCTCAATAACGTTGGGATATAGAGGTAACTCCAAAAATGTACCAGTAATAATAGACTCTGCGAAGACCACAGCTCCACTTGAATTGTTTCCCAATTCCACCTCGTTTGGGAGAACGAAGTAAACAAGGTTCCGTGGTCCATTCTAACGTGAAGATTGAAATCAGAGGAATCGTCTACAGAGTGATGTAACACTTTTGAATATTTCACGGCTATTTCTTAGGCTTTAAAGACAAACATGCAATTGCATCATTCATCAGATTGGATTAAGTTGGCCTTTCAAACAGCCTCCGGAAAAATGATGAAAACAGAGATGTCCCCTTCTTCCGCTTCATGGACAAATTCATGCACGTGAAGGAGCACATGGTAAAAACGGTACCTGGTTTTCCCAGGAGCCCTATGGCGAAGACATAGGCGATTTCCAGGGGGTTTCCTGGAAAATCCAGGAACCGTTTTTACCGTATACGGAAAACAAGTGCGGAAAGCATGGCACGTCGAGGGAGAGCTAATTGTTGTCCAGATTTGAGCAGTACTTTTACTGGCTGTTTCATGAGTTGCGTACCGCTGGAAGGACGCAAGGTTCTCTGCGGTCCATCGATGCTCCGGAGTGCTTCGCCAGAACGCGGAAGAAATCGGGGATCTGATCACGTATCCCAGAGCACCCCATTTTACGAAATTGGAAAAGAAAGGCATTCTCTTTCCACTGGTTGTTGGATCGCAGGGCCAGGTCAGCATGGGACTAAATGCGATTAAAAGAAACAAAAGGCTCGTGAGAAACTCAAGGGTTCATTAAAACGCACTATACGCTGGTAAAACAAAGGCATAAGAACTAGGCCCTGTAGGGCATTATCAGTATTTTATGCCCTCTATGGGCGTAAATGGTATAGGACTTCAGACGAAATTATAATGTCCTGTCAAAGGCATAGTCGAGCATAGTTTTAATGTCCTGTTTCACCATTGCGACCAAGATAATAACGCACTTAATGTCCTTTACCTCGACCCTAATGTCAAGTAATAGGACTCTGTCCACTTGAGAACTTGAAATCCCTTGAAATCCGAAATCTTCCCTCAAGTAAGGCAAAAGAGGAGACGAAATCTACTCTTTAGAAACCCTATACCCAAACATCGAAGGTGGTTGCCTTCCATGCGTGTTGGTCTTGTTAAAGGTGTAGTAATCCTCTTAAGTTTGCAAACCAAATTTCAATGTACTGATATTGTCTGTAACTATTTTCCATATTTGTGCATATTTATGCACAACTTCGTGCGTAACTTACATGTGCACATGATAATAGTAATGGACAAGTCCACAGGCATTTACTCTACAAATCAAAGAGTGTACATGGTACGCTCTAACTGGAGCATGCCTGCAAGCACGCTCTAACTAGTGCATGCCTGCCAGGCTTGCACTAACTAGTGCATACATGCCATGTACACGCTAACTGAAGCATACATTTACTGCATAAGGGATAGGGAGTTTTCTGCATCAGGAAGCGTGAACATGGCATGTATGCTCTAGTTAGTGCATGCTTGGCAGGCATGCGCTAGCTAGAGCGTGCTTGCAGGCATGCTCCAGTTAGAGCATACTATGTACACTCTTTGATTTGTAGAGATAGCACGTGAACCCTGTTCTTTGCCATCCATCAGAAATTCCTCAAACCTGGTGACCCCAACCTGTCTGTCGAACCCCCGTGCCACCTGTTGACAGGGGCCATGTGAAATGGTACAAGTTGCTGACAGGTTGCTGGTGGCAGAGGTCTGACTCGCTCGACTCACCCAAAATTGATCTGTGTAATCAATTTTAAAAGACACATTCCCCGAAACAGTCTGACGCTCGCTTGGCTTGAGGGGGTTGAAGTGGCTCGATCGCAAAGTCATTTCTATGGAACCGTCGGATGGACAGAGGTCCCACGCATGGGCGTAAGCGATAAACGGACCCTGCAAAACGCAACCGTTATGTACATTGATTCGTCACGTCACTACACACACAACTCAATTTCGTGTCTGAGCATTAGGGTATGGAACAAGCTCCTCTATGGTATGCAAAACCACCTCTCGGAGGACCGCCTCTGGGAGGACCACCTCGATGATGAAAGTCACCTAGGTGTCCATTGAAGCCTCTACCAAAGCCTCCTCTATGGTTTAGCCTACAGTAGCCTCTAGGGGCACCCTTGTGGCCTCTACCTGCACCCCTGGCTGAATCTCCAGTTTGTGCCTCCATCTGCTGATGGCTTCTCTTAGGATACCTTCACAGCGTCAACCTCAGGCATCAGCCTAGGGGCCGTACCCATATTACGTGACCGATTTAGGGGGGGGAGGGGGTTCGGCCAAATCCTACGGACGGTCACGAGGGGGGAGGGGGGGTTAATTCAAAAGTCACGTAGTCACGAATTTGGAAATTATGATAGCAAAACACACGAGGTAGCGGCGCGGTCAGGCAACAGATATCTGTTCCTGCTGCATCCAAGCGGACAGAAACCAAGTTTCCCGAAATATGACAAGTTTTAGCGGTCGTTTCAAAGTGGCCATTTGATGTAAAATTGCTTAAATTTTACTTCCTCTGACCTTCAGGGTTCCAAAAAAAGACCCCTTCTGTGAGCTAATAGACTATTCTAGTCGTCGACTGAAGAACAAGAAGAACGAAACCGAAAATGAAGTGGATTACGAGCAGGTAGCGAGCGAGGGAGAAATGTTGAGAAATATGTTTCTTTCCTTTACCAATAAGTATTAGAAACAGGCCTAATAGCATATCAACGCGAGAGGATTCGGGAACCTCTAAAATTATTGCACTCGAACGGGTGGACGGCGCCACTTCCGGTTTTGTGCGGCTTCTTGTTCTTCACTCACCAACGACTGGAATGGGCTATTTGTTTCATCGATGATCTTTGTCTTTCTTCACATCAGGAAACATCAAATTAGACGAAAAACAGCTTTTGAGAAAATCCTACGTGACATCGGTGGGGGGAGGGGGGGTTCGCGAAGATCCTACGGTGTGTCACGATGGGGGGGGAGGGGGTCCAAAAGTGGCCTAAAACCGGTCACGTAATATGGGTACGGCCCCTACTCCTTCCGAAGTGCTTCAGCTGACTTGCACAAGTTGACAGCTTCCTGAAGGGTCTGGGGGTGGGTTTCACCCTAAGAGACTCTTTGAGCCTCGAGGTTCCCGTTAGTTCCCCAAAGTCTGTCTATTAGCATTCTCGAATGCGAGTAAGGGATTTTTTCTCCTCTGCATCAGTACGGAACTCAGCAATTAATGTTCACAGCTTTCGCTGTTATCTGCACTTTAAAAATTTCCGTACTTTTTTACGGAAATGGTACAGAAAAATTTAGTAAGGAGGTACGGATAAAAGTACGGAACGTTCCGTACTTGCTCCTTATGAACCCATGTATATGGGTATGGAAAAAAAGTACGGAACGTCCTTAGTTGGCAAGTACGGACGGTCCAGGCAAATCATTGACCAGACATGTTCCGTACTTTTTCCGTGCTCACAGTGTGTCCAGTTATATGTCCCTCAGCATCAATCGCAGAGTAATCAGGGAGTCCTTAAAACTATTGTATACATCAAGGGCCTCTCGCCCTGCCTCCCTCACGAGTATTGCCCTCTTGTCATTGGACGACTCATTCATAAGTTTGCTAGCCTTAAGGTAAATCGTGAATCTTTGCTCAAAGTTGGCCCACTCAGTAGCAATATTGCCTCCTGAGAGCTTGACAGGGCCTGGGCTGGTGTCAGTCATGACTCCCCAGTATCGGCTTTATATATCAATTAATTAATTACTGAATGACAGTCAAGAGAAGGGGCTTTGAAATATACACCCGAGATCACTAGAGAACACTTAAACACGTGGCACTTTCTTACGACTGCGCCATGCTGTAGTTGAGGAAAAGGTAAATCAGGGCAACACAGTTGTGACAGAGTGAGTGCGTTTATTAGTGAGCACTCATATTTATAACAGTGTAGGGTAACGGTGGTGGGGTTGAGCTGCGAGGAACCATACTATTCGCAGGTTGCAGTAATGCCAACCCAGAACGAAACCTTCATTATCCAAATGCCACAACCGCATCCATCCAACCGCCCGCCCAACCACTGTTTTTCTGTTCTTCACGTGTTTTTGCCAGATCGCGCATCTGATGGCTAAAGGCCAAACTGTTGTGACTATCCGTCCGTAACCACCTCATAGCGCCGTACCATAATTTGCAAGTCGCTCTGCTTAACATTCGAATGTCATAATACTTATGTTCAAGGTAAGAAGCAACTTACTGTCCAGGGGAAATGGAAATAACTCCAGCCAAATTTGTACACCAAAATTCATAAGACATGTAACATTCGCTAAAATTCATCACAATTTAACTGAAATTCGTAGAAAAGTGACTAAAATTCATCAAAATTTGACTGAAATTCATCGGAATTCAACTGAAGTTCATTGGATTTGTACACCAAAATTCACAGTGATTTCCCTTGCTTACTGTGACCACAGTGGAATCCCAGAATTCTGCACTCTAAAGTATAATGTCTTACGGAGAAATTTTCCACTATGAAGGTAATGGCACAATAATACGTATGTAGTATTTCTTCGTATTACGAAGAGTTTTCTTTGTATCTTACCATGAAAGAAATGAAAAGATTCGTGTCATGAAAATATTTTGTTTAGCCTTATGATTGCGCCGAATTCAAATATAATTGTAAGACATTCAAAGTGTTAAGTTTATGTACGCACAGCGAACGTGTTGAGCCGTTTGCTTCGAACGTGGTCAAAGGTCAGCAGTGGTGCTAGAATGGTCCAGATCATGATCGAAGGAAGCGGAGGCATGATGCATCGCACACCTGTATCTTAAAACATCTCGCGCCTGTAAATTGGAACGCCTTTTCAAAATGGAACGGAACGGCAGGGATCCTTAACTTACCTCATAAGGGCATCATAACGTTATCATAAGAGTTAAAGTTATTACCCTTAACTTCTAACATCTTTTCAAAAAGGGTAAGTTATTTTTTTATGTCTCGAATTTGTGTGGATATGCTTTTGTAAGTACTTTCATAAGTCCGTACCCTTAACCTATAGCGAACATTGTCTTATGTTACGTTATGACAGCAGTGTTAGTTAAATGTTGAGTTAAGTTAAGGATCCCTGCGGAACGGAACGTATCCGTTAAGAAAGTGAAAAGTCTGCTAAGTGAGGTCAGAGCGGGAAAGTGTCAAGCACCCTCAGAGTCCGTACGATTCGCAAATTTCTTCTTGGCTTGCCGCTCCCTGAGGCCTATAGCGACTACATAGTCTGCCCGATGCTCCGAGGCGAGTGATGTACAGGATGTAGGCATTGTGGTACGTGGTAGGATTCACGCGCAACTCTTTCATGCGGAGGTGATGGAAAAAAAACGATAGCTCTCGGTTGGCACCTGGCGTGCGCTGACACCACCATCGCCCTTTCATTGGGTGACGCGCGCATCGGGCGACGAGCCAGCGGTGACTTAACTTTGGGCAGTCAAAAAACCATCGCCCAAATTTGGGTAACTTTGTCGGCCACGCCGTGATGTCCCTGATGACGTCCTTTCGGGGCCACCACGATGACCTCTTTTTGGCGTTGAGGCCTCCGGGTCTCACGGCGCCCAACGCCGAAGTCAATTCAGTTTCGTTCTGGAGGAGGAGTAAGTGGTGAATTTTTTCGAGGCTATAGGAGCTCTGACCACGAACCTACTTGGTGTACGGGACTTTGGACTTCAGGATTGGGTTGAGGGGTCCCGGCCCAACTGGAAACCAAAATTGGCCAAGTTTCAGCCAGCCGTTTGTCCAGGATGGCGATGAACATCATCCAATCATCAGAAAAAGTCGAAAAATCCACCTGTTCAACCCAATTTTGGGAGCTGAAATTTTCATCACCCAAATTTGGGCTGAAGTTCTATTACCCTTAAATAGTGATGGTCCATTCTCAGTGGACAGTCGCATGAAGCGTAACATAACATGACCCAGATTGTTGTGGTCGTGGTTGAGCGGGAAGACGATGCTGTTAATATTGGAGGTCGAAACTCTTGGAGAGATTTAAGGTAAACAGACTTTATTCAGTTTGATTGTAAACAGGAACGGGTGTTGGTTACATTACAGAAAAGTTTGTAATAAGAAGGACATCGGGATTTTATCACATAAAAAAGCGGTTTTTGTAATACATAAAAGAACAAGATTCAAACTTACAACGCAAGAAATTGCGTCTTAATATTCTCTGGTGGTTGTGGTCACGTCTTTTTCCTGTACTATTTCTGTAATGTTTTGTATTGTGAAGAAAAGTTTTGTAATACAAGTCACACGGCTTAATATTACGTCGAGAAGAGAATTGTTTTGTAAGACAACTGCACCGCGGTTTCTTATAATACAATTTGAGTCTGTTGAAACAAAACGCGCCAACTTTTATTAGTAATAGACAGATAAATCCTTGGTAAATACTTTTGAATGATGACGCGACAGTGCAACAAACATGAAATGCTCCAACGCAGTTTTTTCTACCTACAGAATTTTTGGTGGAACCAGAACTTCGTGACCGCCAGAATTTCGTGAAATTTTATTTTCTTTGCATTGGCGTACTGGCGGCGTTGAAATAAAATAATTGTTTTGCAGGATGCCGTGAGGATGCCCCCAATTACGCGCCTGGTAAAAAGCTGTTTCTTATAAAATTCTGTGACGCCGACATGCTGCTTCGAATTTCTTGCCAATGGACTTGTTATAAAGTATAAACCCTGCATATAAACGCACTGAGAAAACCTTACAAACTATTTTGGGCCTTACAAAGAAAAGTAGTTTGTGTAACAAAGTATTTTGAGCATACGTAAGCCTACAAAGAAAATACTTCGTAATTTACGAACTATTTCTTCGTATAACAAAGTATTTTAGTTTGTTATATGTACGCTCAAAATACTTCGTAAGGTTTTAAGAGTGCGTGGACGCTGTATTTCAGTGATATCATGATTCGCTGCTTTGGACTGAAGAGAGCTACTGCGCAGTTTTAGCCTCCTCTGAAACCTCTGAGCATTTAGGATTGTCTTGGATCTGCACTGACAGTTAGGATTATTCTATTAGGAGGCGTCGAATGTGACACTTAAATGTTTTAAAAAGTTTCATATTCGTTGAAATATGCTACGAGTAGCCACAATGGCCTGGCGACATGAAACGTCTTTTGCCCCAGCCACTGAAACGAATGTGACGCACATTTGACGCGCAGCGGTAGGAAAATTTCGTCTAGTGAGTGATACTTTATCGCCTTGCAGCTTGAGTCCTCAGTCCGATACTCTAGAAACTGAAGAGAGTGCATGGCATGCTCCTTCAAGGAGTCAACCACAAAGCACGCTCTTCCCAAGAGCATGCTTGCAAGCACACTCTTACTAGGAGCACGCTTGCAAGCACACTCTTACTAGGAGCATGCTTGCAAGCACACTCTTACTAGGAGCATGCTTGCAAGCACTGTCTAGGATGAAAGCGTGCCTCTTCGTTGATATGAGTCCATATAATAGTGAGGCAGCACGCTTTATCCCAGAGAGTGCTTGCAAGCATGCTCTTGGGACGAGCTTGCTTTGTGGTTGACTTTTAGGAGGACCATGCCATGCACTCTCTTCAGTATCTAGAGTAGCCGGAAACCGCCGTAAACGCTAGTGAGGTGAGGCGACCAGCTCAGGGTAGCACTCATCTCACGGTTTGGGGATAATCTCGCAGTCGACTAGAATGCAGAGGCGATTGACGGGGCTGTCCCGAGAGGTTCGTGATCTCATCCGCAACCGATAGCGCCCATACGGCATGACTGGGAAGTTGGGGAACGTCCAGTTTACTGGCTCGTTCTTCAGGATGTAATGGCCCTGCAATCAAAAACGAAACTTCGAGTTATTTGCTGAGCGAAGCGAAGCACCCTGTTTGGGAATTTAAACGTTCGGATTGTCCGCCTCCCCCCACCCGGATACCTCTCGTTTACCATAGGTATCTTATTATTGCTCTTAATCTTTTACCTATATCTTACATAGTCCGGCATACAGGACATGAGCCCCGTCCCGTTTGAGCCCCGATGGTCTGAGCCCCGACCTGAGCCCCAACCTGAGCCCGGGTTGAGCCCCGACTTGAGCCCCGACCCAAGCCCCAATTTTCAGAGCCCGGACTGAGCCCCGACCTGAGCCCCGTTTGAGCCCCATTTGAGCCCCACTTGAGCCTCGGGGCAATAAATCATGCAAAAATGTGTGGTTTCAGGTCGGGGCTCAAAGGGGGCTCAAATGGGGCTCAAACGGGGCTCAGGTCGGGGCTCAGGTGGGGGCTCAGTCCGGGCTCTGAAAATTGGGGCTTGGGTGGGGGCTTGGGTCGGGGCTCAACCGGGCTCGGGTTTGGGGGCTCAGGTCGGGGCTCAGACCATCGGGGCTAAAACGGGACGGGGCTCATGTCCTGTATGGGTCATTCTTTGTCAGATCACCACAAGCCCCAAATTTGAGGGTCTCAGATCGGCCTGGAAACCTCAAAACTCATTGGGTGTTCCCCTGACCCACCCTGAAAAAGGATTTGACTGGGAAATTTTTTCCTAATTTTAATCACATTCTTGTTTTTAGTCTTCCGCTAAATTCTGAATTTGTCGCAGAATTTCCCCAGAGTGAACCATTACTCGTATTCACTCCCCGTAAATTTTTTTGTGTCGACTAGTGATACAGAAAAAGGAAAAAAATTGCCGGCAGGTGGTCATAAAAAATACCCAAAAATTGTTAAGAAAAACTACTAAAAATTAGTAAAAAATTGAGTTTGGCAAAATACATCGTATTAGTATGGTGTTATTTGGTGAAAAAGTACCTTTTTACTAGTCGATCAACCCTGTAAAGGTCCCATGTCTGGCCCGGAGCTCCTTACCCTGATCGGGGACTGAAAATATTTTTAATGGCTCGTAAAGTTCAAAGAAGGGTATCGTAACCAGCCATATCATTCAGAAAGCCATTTCCAGTGGCAATACAATCACTTTCACTTCAAAATGGTTTTGGTATCAAGGCAACAGTATTTGGGGTGAGGCTTGCCAATAAGTGCATATCACAAAAAAAGAACAAAAAAGAGCATAGCACAAGGATTTGGCATTTGACATTCTTACTGTAGTTCATCAGGGACATTGAAATCAACACAATCCAACTACTAACCGACAGAATGGCTTGGAATGCAGCAATCATAATACACCCTTAGTTAAACTTTCTATTTTTGCATGGTCAACTGTATATGGTTCAGTGTCCATGATTTTGAATTGAAGCTTTAAACCCCTTATTTGAAAACATTTATGTTTTCACCTTTTTTTCTTTTTCACAACAACGTCCTCTTCCTCGGTAAGCAAGCATTTATAGCAGACGACAGCCGCGGGCCCAAATCAGAAAACCCCTTTTGTGACCATTGACTCTTGCTTTTGTGACAAGGCTGTAAGGGGGAATGCCACAAGTAGCCACAGTTGGTGTTGTTTACACTTCTTTCATGCTGCTTTGCAATTGCCCAGGAACTATTGCATTCCCCGAAGATTTTCTTCTCCTTCCCCTAAAAACCCCTAGGTGAGGCTCATTTTGAACTTTGATGTTAAATTTTTATAGAAACAACCAAACCTATTTGTTTACATTTTTTGATAAGCCTTTTGGAGGTTATAACCTCTCTAATTTGTTTTGTCATAGACAATGCTTGAAGTTCCCTTTTCAAACAGAGGATCACCTGTCAATCAAAGATCTGAGTTGAATTGAGTTTTTGAACCCAAACTAGTGTAGGCGTTAACTGATGCTGAAACCACTGCTATTTTTTACATTTAAATACCGTTCAATGCACTTATTGGCAAAACCCCATCCCAAATACTGGTGCCTTGATACCAAAACATCATTTTGAAGTGAAAGTGATTTGTATTGCACACTGGAAATGGCTTTCTGAATGATATGGGGTTTCGATACCATTCTTTGAACTTTACGAGCCATTAAAAATATTTTTAGTCCCCGATCAGGGTAAGGAGCTCCGGGGCCCGACATGGGGCCTTTACAGGGTTGATCGACTAGTAAAGAGGTACTTTTTCACCAAATAATCACCATACTAATACGATGTATTTTGCCAAACTCAATTTTTCACTAATTTTTAGTAGTTTTTTTTAACAATTTTTTGGGGATTTTTCATGACCACCTGCCGGCAATTTTTTTCCCTTTTTTTGTATCACTAGTCGACCACAAAAAACTTTACGGGGGGTGAATACGAGTAATGGTTCACTCTGGGGAAATTCTGCGACAAAATTTAGAATTTTGCGGAAGACTAAAAAAAAGAAATGTGATTAAA